TGATTTTGTAAATTGGGCCTACACAGTTAATCCTAAAGCTTTTATATATAAAATCAATGCCAAGGTGTCTCTCTTTGCATACCTCAGCTTACCTTGACCACAGCCCTCAGGGAAGGCCTCCTCCTTTTACCATTAGACAAACTGAAGCTGGAAAAACTTGCTCATAACAAACACAGGTAAAGAATGGCAAAGTAGGGATTTAAAACCAGGCCTACTTAGTCACCAAATTCTCACTCTTTTCTGCTTCAGACCTACCTAAATTAGATTTGGCTTTGTTTTCCAGCATTGTGGGCAGTGTAGTAAGAGAATTAATGAAAAATAATGTTAGTGACTAAGATTAAACTCAAACTGAGCTAAATTCCTAGAACTATATATTAACTCAAACATGTAAGCATACTTCCTAAATTAATAATACAACACACATGTCATTGCCCACCATGGACACTGAAATAGAGATACATGAATTATCTACATAAATTTGGCCAAAGGAAAAAATAATCAAGAATATTTTCTTTAGCAGTCTTGCTTAGACATCTAGGGGAACCACTTCCACTCCCTTAGGATCCTCACTTAGGATCCTCACCCAAGTCCCATCACCTTTAAACACCTGGGTCAGCTTATTATCCCCTCTTTCCCACTCTGGTTTCAAAATCAGTCTGTGTTTGTGAGATGCCAATAACGATTATCACTAAATAGCAGAGAAAAACTCAAGTGGTTTTCATGTTCTAAATGATAACAGACACACTTATTTCTTTCAAAGAAACAGCTCAGGTGTACATTCATAAGATACCTTCATTAATTATCCTATTGTGCTTCAAAACAGACATACAGGAGAATCGTAGCATTTAACAGGAACTCGCCCCCTTCTGACCTCTCTTTACCATTGAGTTACTCCTCATCACCACTTGGGCCCTATCCCATGCTGAAGCCATCGTCTCCCTACTCTACTCAGCTGGACACCAACAGATGTGGACCTTTTTGTGCCCTTGATTCTGGCTCCACTTTGCTGACTGGGGTGCCTGTGGTGGTGATCACCGCAACAGTTGTTCTACTTGTTCTCCCATCTCTCCCCACTCTCCCAAGGACAGTTATTAGAACACTGCTGTATTCCCTTTCTCCAAGGACCAATTCACAAAATAAGGCTAGCTTACCTATGGTTTTCCACTGATTGGCACAGGTGTATTTGAGATCCATGAAAGAAGCAGCATTTTCAGCACATGTTAGCCATAGCATGGCATTTGCAGTGATGCCTTCAGCAGACCCTCCTTAATGTGGATGGCTCTGGAGGGGTGATGTCAGGAGAGCTACCTGGTGCTCTGTGACTGAGGAGGGGCTGGGAAATGCTCTGCACACCTGCTTGCATCCTGGTTTCAAATTATCGCTAAGTAAAAACAAATCCTAGCATTGCTCATGAGCATTTGGGTTCAAATTAGTTGTCTCCCAGCAGAAAGGACAGACCTCTGAAAGTCTAGAAACCTTGATCAATGCTGAACTGTGGAAAGGTCAAAGCTGCAGACACCTCTCAGGAGTGGGCATTGAGAGTGGAGGCTCCCAGGTAATCAGAGGCCAGGAAGATACAAGTGCTTAGGCTGGAAAAGAGTGGAACCTGAAATGGTGGGGAAAGGGTGTGTATATGACAATCCTTACAAGTATCAAAAAAGTTATTTAAAAACTGGAATAGTTGGGGCTGGGATTGTGGCTCAGTGGTGGAGTGCTTGCCTTGCACATGTGAGGTACTAGGGTTCAATTCTCAGCACCACATAAAATAAATAAAGGTATTGCATTTATCTACAACTAAAAAATGTATTTTTAAAAAACTGGAATAGTTAAATTGAGAAACTAAACTTCAGAAATTAACTCTAGGATTAAAATTCTACTTAAAAAAAGAGAATGACATATACATATAACTAAGACATGCACCAAGGTATACAGAAATATGTGTGCATACATGTGTGTGTCTATGTAAATAGTGTACACATCTAAAGGCCAAAAAATTTAAAAGAGCACATCAGAGGAAAGTGAATAAAAATGGGAATATTCACCAAAAAAAGTATCAGAATTCCAAAATTATTGGGAGGAAGGGTCCCTGAGAATGAATTTCAATTTCCCAGAAGCCAATGACACCCTAAGGAACCCAGAGAGAAATTGAACCACAAAGATAAAACAACATGAGAAGACATATGTTAATAGGGGAGTGATATTTGCAGGTGAAAATGTGTTCCAAAAATTTAAAAAAAAAAATTTCCCAAGAATTTCTAGGGGAAAGGTAACTTGTTCAGGTGAAAACAAAGTAAATAAAATCACTTTTGAATCCTTAACTAAAGTAGGTCATTCTTAACAAGCTCAGAAATGATGAATGACATTCACTTATGACTCTCTGGAGCCTGCTTCAGCAGAGGCTCCATCTGGGTGTTGGCTCAGGGCTCATTTGTTTGTTACATGTGGATTACAAAGTAGCAGATTTGGGAGCAGGAGGCAGACTGGAATGTGGTTCTCAAGGTCTCCAAGTTCTGGAAAGATTTCTTGAGCTGCCCTGATTCCTTGCTCTCAAGCCCTCCCCTTGCAGGCAGTGCTGGGTGTGGAAAGGAGACTCTTTCCAGTATGCAGCAGGAGGGCTAGAGTTCAGGATTTTGATCAGCTGGGGGTTTGAGGGAGCACATTACAGACCCAGTGTCAGTCATCCCAGGGAAGGAGCTACATTCAAATGAAGGTCTTTTCTACCATTATTGTCACTAGTTTTTTAAAAAAAAATTAGACCATGGCTTAGCAGAGAGAGCACATACAATAGTCAAAGGAAGAAAAGAAGTACCCCCAGGATCTTTCTTAGGGAAGAGAACCAATGAGTTTCTGTGAATTCCTCAGTGGAAACATGAATGAAGCAACAAAAAGGCAGATTTTTTTCTTTTCCTTTCTTTCTGTCCAGAGCAGCATCTGAGAAAAGTAAAAGCACATAGTGCTTCAGTCTTTGTCCTACAGCTAGCTGGCCAGGCTGGATCTCTCACAGGATTAAAGCTGTTCTTGGAAGACACTCTAGACAGTCTTTGCAAAAGACCCAAGATGTCAACAGTCATTGACCATAGATTAGATATTAAATGTTAATGCCCCAACCAAATTGTTGGTAATTGGCAAAAAATAAAGACAAAAATTTATGTTATGAATGGCAATGACCAAGCCAGCTCCACTTCATGAGCAAGTTCTTTTTTTTTTTTTTTTTTAACCAAGGCTCTTAACCACTGAGCCACATTCCAAGTCCTTTTGGGTATTTTATTTAGAGCAAGGGTCTCACTGAGTTGCTTAGGACCTAGCTAAGTTGCTGAGGCTGGCTTTGAACTCACATTCCTTCTGCCTCAGACTCTCTAGCCACTGGGATTACAGGCATGCACCACCCTACCCAGTACGAGTATAGTTAGGGTATGCCACCTGGATGTGAGGATGCAAAGATGGAGGTGTGAATGGAGATGAGAGACAGAAGACAAGCTGCTTGACTGAGAAAAAGGCTCAGAAAGAATAGCAAGAGGATCTAAAAGTCATAATAAAACTCAAAGGGTCTCAATACTGGGGGCCATGCTAGAGGGTGAGGCAGAAGCACTTCACTGTGGTCAGAGAAGACCAATACAGAGAAAGATAAGGGCACTGAAGAATTGGAGTGGGCAGGTTGTGGGTATTGAGGAATGGATGGTCAAAGAGAAGTCAGGTGAGGCCAAGAGTTGAGGCCATCATCAGATTCCTGGTTGTAACATGAGCTCTGCAAACATGCTGAAAATGCCCTCAGGTATGAGAAAGCACCATGTAGCAACATACAGTCTAGTGTGACATAATTCATCTAATCACTGTGATTTCAGTCAGGGAACAGAACCCTGGGCATTATGGGTAATAATGCAAAATCAAGTGGGGGGGGATGGAATGCTAACAGAATGTTCTTTAAATTGTTTTTATAGGACAATAGAGAAACTGCATGTTGTAAAAGAAACAGCAAAGTTTGAAAATGGAAGTCCCATTTTGACACTACTCATGGTCTGACTCAATAAAAAGTACTTAGATTTTTGTCAAGGGGTGGATGTGTATGCAATCATGTTATTATTTGTAAGAGGAGAAGAATTGTAAGGCCTCAGAGAATTGTGAGGGATAAATTGACAATGTACATAAAAAGTCTTTGTAAAATTGATCTTTTAAGTGTAATAAAAATAGAATTAAGATAATAATTAAAAATTCAGATCAGACATATAATTGTTAAATAATAACTACCAGTTGATGAATGCTTATAGCTTGCCAGGCACAATGGCAGATGTTTTGAAAACATTCTCATTTAATTTTCACAATCACCTTGAAACTTGGGTATCATCATCATCACTGTTACATAGATGAAACTCAGAGAGGTTAAGTAACTTGCCCAGGATCTTTCCTTAGGAAAGTTCTTGTCACTTGTAACTAAGTAACCAATTCTAATTTTAGTTTGTGCCATAATTATAAAATTATAAAACTTTACCAGACTCCCAGAAACCATAGGAAAGTAAACAGATTATATATTTTAATTTCACAAATTAAAAGCACTTTATATAGTATCATAAAAATCCTGATGACTAAATTGGAATATTGTTTGAACCTAGGGACAATGAAAAGACTTCAATCTCTCCAAGTTCTCCAATGCCTCACTTTGGAAACATTTCTAGGGAAAAAAAAAAAAGTCCACAAGATGATCTCACTTTATACATAGAAAACAGATTCACTGGTTTGTACACTGAGTCAATTTTTATTGCTTCTTTAAAAATTAAATACAAGCTCTTTGTTTACTTACCCAAAGGAGCAGTGTCCAGCTCATTGGAGGAAAAAGTGATATCACTGTCACAAAACACAATCTAGGTCCCTTAATCCTGCCTCTTTTGATCTCAAAAGGTGGTAACATTCAGTTCAGAGCTCACTCATCTGTAAATTGCATCACATTATCTCTGAGTTATTTAAGAAGCAAGTTCTATTTGGTTTCAGGCATTTTAACCTGCTAACGGCAAGAAGAAGGGTTCACCACATAGTTCCAAAGGTCTTCCACTTGCCACCACTGCCAAAAGAAGCAAAATGATCGAACCCATAGGAAATCAGTATGTTGTGGCCAGGCCAGTGTACTCTGCAAACACTTTTGGAGAAGAACATAAGAAGAAACACAGACATCATAAGACATTTCTGGATCATCTCAAATTGTGTTGTAGGTAAGATATTTTTAAGGCATTGACATTAGGAATAAACGGAGACTTTCTCCTAAATTTTCTAGCTTTCAAGCTCTCCTTTCTGGCTCTAGTCCATAACCAAGGAGTCTTTTTGTCTGAAGTTTCCAAATCTCCTACTCCCTGCCAGAGTAGGAAAGTTATGTCTAAAATGAATACTGTCTCAGCTAACGACATGGTCTTTCCAAATCAGATAACTAATAGATGGGGATGAGGAAAAGTCTCAATTGAAATATAGCACAGTTCAAGCTAAGGATGACAAACAAATTCTACTACAGCTAAAGAAAAGTTGGTCTTTTTATTTTTTTAATATATTTAAGTTTTAGATAGACACAATACCTTTATTTTATTGATTTTTATGTGTTGCTGGGGATCAAACCCAGTACCTCACACATGTGAGACAAACACTCTACCACTGAGCCACAACCCTAGCCTCGTATTTGTCTTAAAAAAAAGAAAAATTCTATGATGGTGACCAGGGATCTGTTAACCTGGGTATAGTAGGAGTTATATGGCTAGTTTGATCTTTAATATATTATCATCTTTACCAATTTTCCACCCACAGTTAGGAACTGAACTTAAAATTTGATATTAATTAACTGACCTGTGGTTTTCAATGTTTCAGCTGTTCCACACAAAAGGCCAAGAGAATTGCCCTCTCTTTCTTCCCCATAGCATCTTGGTTACCATCATACCGAATAAAGGAATGGCTACTCAGTGACATCGTTTCTGGTATCAGCACAGGGCTGGTGGCTGTACTTCAAGGTACCCTCCTCTCCTTTTTAGATATAATGCATATGCCATAAAATTAGATATAATGCATATGCCTTTTTGTGGGGGGGGTGTGTGTGGGTGTGGTATGGTGCTGGAGATGCAACTCAGGGTCTTGTCCATGCTAGATACTCTTTTTACCACTGAGTCATACCTGCAGCCACCCTTTTAATGTGTACGATTCATTGGATTTAAGTATATTCAACAGGCTGCATATCTAACACCACTAATTCCATAACATTTTCACCCTCCAAAAAAAATCCCTTGCTCATTAACAGACACTTCACATTCCACACACCCCAATTTATCCCCTTGACAATGATTCTCTGTCTCTATGAATTTCCCTATTCTGGATATTTCATAAAAATTGATCCATACAATATGTGGCATTTTGTGTCTGATTTCTTCACTTGGTATCATGTTTTCCAGGCTCATCCATATTGCAGCATAGACAAATAATGTTTTACATGATTATTCCATTTTGTTTATCCATTCACTAGTTCGTGGACATTTGAGCTGTTTGAACTTTGAGCCTATTATGAATAATGCTATTATGAACATTTGTGTACAACTTTTTGTGTAAACATGTCAATTGCCTCAGTATGTACCTAGAAGTGTAATTGTTGGATCATATGGTAACTTCATGTTTGATCACTTGTTGAACTGCCAAATTATTGTCTAAAGTGGCTGCTCTCTTTTACATTCCCACTAGCAGTGTGTGAGGATTCAGATTTCTCCACATCCTTAACTTTCGTCTTTATTACTTTAGCTATCCTAGAAGGCGAAGTGGTATCTCATTGTGGTTTTAATTCGTATTTTTCCAATGACTCATGTTAAGCATCTTTTCTTGTACATATTGGCCATATGTACATCTTTGGCAAAAAGGGCTATTCAAATCCCTTGCCCTTTAAAAAAAGGTTGTCTTTTTATTGTCAAGTTGCAAAGGGTATTTATATTTTGTACATATAGTTGCAAAGAACTCCTTATCCAACATATATTTGCAAATAATTTTTCTCATTCTGTGGATTATCATTTCAGTTTATTTTTTTCCAGTGGTGCTGGGGATCAAATCTGGGGCCTTGCATATGTGAGGCTAGTTCTCCACCACTGAGCTACATCTCCAGCCCTTAGTTTTTTGAAAATATCCTTTGAGTACACATTTTACAAATTTTAATCAAGTCAGTTTATTTATTTTTTTCTCCAATTGCTTATACTGTAAGGGGTCATTTCTTAGAAATCATAACCTAACCCAAGGTCACAAAAATGTATACTTGTTTTCTTCTAAGAGATTTATGGTTTTCATTCTTACATTTGTATCTTTGATACATTTTTAATTAATAAGGTAACTTATTTTGTTTCCTTAAGATAACTTATTTTAAAGTTCCAACCTCAAATATCAGAAAAGCCCTAATGAGAATTTGTGAGATTCCCTTGCACAAAATAAGGATCCTTCTGCTTGTGTGTTTACAGGTTTAGCATTTGCTCTGCTGGTCAACATCCCCCCAAGATATGGGTTGTATGCAGCCTTTTTCCCAGTCATAGTCTACTTTTTTTTGGGTACTTCTAAACACATATCTGTAGGTAAGTCAGTTATGGTGCTAATGAATGTTTTATTGCTTTTTCTTTATGAGTTCTATTTCCCGTAAGACCTAGGACTGGGATTTGGGTAAAGGGCAGTCTTTGTATATACTGTATTGTAGTATGTGCTCCAGAGAGGCACAGGCTGACCACAGTTTGCCTTCTATTAATTAGGACCATTTCCAGTTCTAAGTATGATGGTGGGAGCAGTGGTTACAAATGTAGTCTCAGATGCCAGTACCACGATGGAATCATCTAATAGCACAGAGAATAATGACTTGATATTGGAGCAGAAGAAACTAGTGGTGGCTACAACTGTCACGGTCCTTTCTGGAATCATCCAGGTGAGCACTTTCTCATAATCCGCTTGTTTTGACTAGTGTGCATTTTTCTGGGAATTTTTTCCCCTCCTCCTACCCACTCTTCATCTTCCCTTTGGTTTGTGTCCCTTGTTCAGAGGCCCAGAAGAAGTGATTTAAAAAGTATCACTCTCCACAGCCAAAGGGTTGGGAAGGAGAGGCAGATCCATATTGCAAAAACAAGTGAATGTGCATCTAGATAGAAGGGGAAAAAAAAAGGAGGGGAACAGGGTGGTGCAACTGGTAAGGAATTCAATACTCAAGTCAATAAAAGCACTTGGTACAGTCATAAAACATAACAAATAATAGGGACACTAGTAACTTCTGGATTTTTTTCTTCCTAATCCTTCAGTGACTCCAAGCTAATTGCAAGGGTTAGGGGCTTTGCACTTTGAACTGTTCATATCAAAGATTTGAGGGACAGTAGAGAAGATCATGGTGGAACCTAAAGACTCACTCTCAAGCCACAACACTGACACCATTTTGAATAGAGAAAATGCCATGGAAACGTCAGGATGTTGTTCAAGTTTACTGTTAGTGAATTTCTTGAAGAAAGAATAAATCAGTCTCTACAGTACATAATGTGTATCCTACTTACTGACAAACCATGCAGTCAGTTGTTTGTAATACATTTTTGAACCTAAGAACAGAAATAAAACCCAACTGGACTTTGTGTACCCAGAACTTTGTCTTCATTCTGAAGACATGAGAGGAAAGAAAGGCCAAATAAAGGCCAAGAAAGTCCATTCCATTCACTTTACTGCAAAACCCTGATGCTTTGAGAGGAATTAACTACCCTTGTTCCCCAGCTAGAACCAAGCACTTTTGATGTCCAATATGCAATAACGTGTTTCTTAAACAGTCAAACAATGTGTTTGAGGGGATGGGAATGGACACTCACCCATGCATGCTGTAGCAGCTAGAAAGTGTTGATTTCAAATTACATCAGCAAATTTATGAGGGCTGATGATAGATAAGATTCTGCTATAAATGGTTTATGGTGAGTCTTCTAAAGACACTGCACCTATAAATGGGTTAAATCTTGGGGGCATATTGGACTTATGTCCTCTTTTCTTTGAACATCATGTAACTTTCAACCTGGGGGGTGGGATGAGAGGGAATTAGAGGGAGGAGTCCTGAATGGGAGTTTTCTGGGAGGAGAGACAGCAGCCTCTTCAAGGCCTGTGCATGCAGGGTGAACCGCTACATTGGAATCCTTTCCATGGCTGATCCTTTAGCCATGGAACACACGCTTTTGTTCTTCTCTTGCCAGCTGATCCTGGGGGTTCTGCGGATCGGATTTGTAGTGATTTACCTATCTGAGTCCCTGATCAGTGCCTTCACCACCGCTGCCGCCGTTCATGTATTGGTTTCCCAGCTCAAATTCATGTTGCAGCTGTCAGTTCCAGCACACACGGACCCATTCTCGCTTTTCAAAGTAAGTGTTCCCCTCACTTAAAAAGAACTATTGAAATACATAAAATTCACCACGTGTTTCCTAGAGAACCTTCCTTTAGTGCCTTTGCTGTAGGGCAAACCTACAACTTCCAAAAATCAATGGGTTGTGAAATTGATTCACATTATAAAAAAGGTTGGTAGAAAAGAGAACACTGAAAATCAACCACATCTACCATATAGTTAATGTTAACAACAGAGGGAAAAAAAATAACCACAATCTAAGTGTATTATTAAAAGGTTTGCTATTTTTTCCTGAGTTTTAAATTTTTTCCCAAAGTCTAATTTTCAAAGAAATTTGCTTATTAATTTATTATATTTCTCTATTTCTCATAAATCAAGTCTTTTGAAATTGAAGTTGTTGAGTCCTTTATGCATGTCTGTTCATATAGCAAAAGGAAATTGTTCCACAGGTAGATAGGGCAGTGGTTCTCCCCTCCTTCAAAGAAAGCAAAGTAGAAGTATTAAAAGATGAAATTACAATAAATCTAGTTTTGCAGATATTAATTGGCTTTATTTGTAATTATAGAATCAATTGGACCAAAATGGTTCAGAATGCTTCACTCCACCACACAGTCTGGTTACATTTATAATCGGAGGAAAGGAAGTGACATAGAGAAGATGGAAGTAAGGTACAGAGACAGTCCGCCTGGTTACAGCTCATGTCTGTCTTTTTTTGAAGATGGTTTGAACTGTCAACCTCTTGTGACTAGCTGAGTGAGACTCAGCTACTTGTTACAAGAGTAGTTTAATCTATGTACACATGAAGTTATGTTATTACATAAAAAGAAATTTATTTAGGTCAAATTAAAACAGAGGTAGTTTTAGACCAAACCTTATTCCCCCACTTTGGTTCAACTTTTTAATTTTGAGAGATTAACCCAGTTTTGTGGATAGGGATGTCACTCTGTATCATCATCATAAATGGACTTAGTCTCAAATTCCATTGGGAAATAGTGGAACAGTGGGGTTGGTAAAGTGGGAAGAACAATACAAAAAAAAATTGATTGGTTAAAGGCTGATTACTTCTGGTTTAGTTTCTCCTCTTTCCCCCAGGAGTTAAAGCAAAGGGGACCATCTTTTTAGGCTAAGTCAGACTGAAATCACCTGTGTCTAACAGGGGGAAACTGTTATGTTTTGAGATCTATCTGCTTTCGTAAAGTTTCATCTTGGTTATGTGGCATTCAGCATGAGTGACTTCATTTTGGTTTGATCTGGTCCGGGGGAGGTCTATTGCAGGAGCTCAGTTTAAAACAATGACCTTCCATCATTTCATTTAACAATAGGTAGTGCTCTTAGTACTTCTATCAAAACAATCTTGGAGACAGATCTTGCTCTTTATTGGAGCAAACAGTCTCTCATTCCTGTCCAGAGCAACTCCTGTCTTGGCCCCATAGATATGCAACCCTCTGACTTCAGGAAGTGAGAGCATGCATTTAGGGAACTATTTTCCAAAAAGTGATCTGGAAAATAAGCCAACAAATATGAGGGAGTTGAACCTTTAAAAAAACAAGATTTAAGGGAATACAGGCCAGGCTTAAAAAAAAAAAAAAAAAACTATCAGGGGCTAGGGATGTGGCTCAAGTGGTAGCGCTCGCCTGGCATGCGTGCGGTCTGGGTTCGATTCTCAGCACTATATACCAACAAAGAGGTTGTGTATGCCGAAAATTAAAAAATAAATATTAAAAAAATTCTCTCTCGGGGCTGGAGATGTGGCTCAGGCGGTAGCGCGCTCGCTTGGCGTGCGTGTGGCCCAGGTTTGATCCTCAGCACCACATACAAACGAAGATGTTGTGTCTGCCAAAAACTAAAAAATAAATATTAAAAAATTCTCTCTCTTTTTTAAAAAAAGAAAAAACTATCAGGGATTAGGAGTTAGTCCTTGGATATAACAGCAGTAATGGTTGTGAAATAAAGAACAACAGCTAAAGAGAACTAAGTGCAGAAAAGACCTGTTGTAAACTGTGAAAAGTATCCAACAAAATTTGACACTAGCCAAAGAGCTTCTCAGAAAAAGAAAAAAAAAATGACGGATGTCCCCCTACACCAGGGTATCACCTCCACTAGGCTAATTTACCCTTCTCATACACACCTCCATGCTGGTCTTTACGATTTTGTAGTTTACATTTGACAGGAGCAGAACAAAGACTCACTATCCCTCTTCTGCCAGTCCTCCTGCTTCAATGTATATTTTTATCTATTTGGAGGTAAGTGTTGTATCCAAATTATGCACTAATATAGGAGCTTGGTGTCTTTTTTTGTGACTGTAGGTACTAGAGTCTGTATTCACCCAAATAGAGAAGACTAACATTGCAGACCTCGTGACATCCCTGATTATCCTGTTTATTGTATTTGTGTTTAAAGAGATAAATCAGCGCTACAAGTCCAAACTTCCAGTGCCTATCCCCATCGAACTTATCATGGTAATTGATCATCTTAAAAATTTCTTTCATATTCTAGTGTCATCATGTCAGAAAGTTTTCATCATCTGCAGATTTTGAGGTTTTAGTGGGGCAGATGCTATTTCTGCAGTTTCTTAAAGGATTTTTCTGTTCATTCTGAATTTAATAACTTCCTGTTATGATTTTGGGATTATTCTTTCCATGTAAGACAAAGATGGTGCAGAGAGCAAGACCTCTAAGAAGACCAGTCAACAGACCCATTTGAATTAGAGCTATGGTTCTTTGCTTAACTGGCAGTCAGGATTGCCTCAGGACCTCTTTTAAAAAGAAATAGCAAAGCCCAGGCTAGAGAGGCTTATTAAAATGTCCAGGGTGGGTTTTGGCAGTGTTCCCCCACCCCAGGTTCAGACTCTTGGTTGCATCAAACATTTCTAACTTGGGCAATTTGCAACTTTGCAGACGGTGATCGCAACAGGTGTATCCTATGGCTTTGACTTCGAGCACAGGTTTAACGTGTCTGTGGTTGGTCAGATGGATACTGGGTAAGTGTGTCTTCTATGCTGGTGTCTCCGTGCATCAGCAGAGAGTGAGTAGACAGCAGTCACAGGAGAGTGCCACCCTGGTGAGAAGCCCCAGCACTGCACATGAAGAATGAAAGCTGGCTGCTGTCCTTCAAGGAAGTAGCTACAAAAGGAGTCAGGGTCCACTGTTAATGTCAGGAAGTTTCTCCTGGTTAGAAGAACTCACAGCCAGGCCAGCAAGGATGCACATGAAAGTAAATGTTAGGAAAGTAGTGAGAGTTAAAAAAGTAGGCAAAAAAAAAAAAAACCACTTCTTCTAAAGAAGCATCAACTAAAATCAGATTTCCTTGTCTGTAAATTACTATAAACAACACATAGTGCTTTGTTTGAGGTTACTGGAGCCAAGTTCCGAAAGTTCAAAAGAAACACTGAAGGAATACCTGTACACCGCTTGAGCAATCGATAGGCACACTGGCACACTCTGTCCTTTCTCGTGGTCAAGTTCAAAACAAAGCCAGAGCAGCTTTCCCAGCTAGTACAAGGAATTTGAAAATATATTTTATTACATTTAGTGGATTGAGAGGGGAGATCTCTTTTTGTGTTGTCCTTTCTCTGCCCTCCAGGTAGCACCAGTTTCTTTCTCCAAGGAAAGATCATCATCTGTCAAAACAAATTAAAGACCACTCCTCTCCCCATGCTTTCCAAGGTTTTGAGAATGCCAGAAGTCAGCAGTTTTATGTATATCCTTGTCTTAGAATAGCCAAATTCCTTTAAGAACAGATACAGGTATATTTTTAAGCAAAAATATATTTTTATCACCAGCTCTTCAGGTGTTCCACTTAATGAATCTCAAACATCACTTCTGTGAAGTTGTGAAGTGGAAAGTAGGCTGAGACTAAAAGACTATTTCTAGGTTTACCCTCCACCCTGTAACTTTCAGGTGATTGCACTGTAAGATGCCAAATCAAAAATAAATAAACAAAAGCAAAATCAAAGAGAGTCTGGTCAGAAGCAGACGTTTTGAAAATAAATGATAAACTTCAAGATCACTGAGTGACAAAATATAATTTCAAGGTCAATGGACCTCTCTCTACAAGGAATGTGGGGTGGGGGAAGAACCTAGCTCATATTTATTAACCATTACACTCTACAGAGAGGCAGTGTGACCCATTAGGTAAACTCACATGTTCTAGAGGCAGAGAACAAATAACTAAACTCTGTGCCTCAATGCCCTGGGCTATAAAATAAGGCTGAAAAGAATAGCTGTCATACAGGATTTTCAGAAGGATTGAACTAGTTACTACATGTGCCATGGTTAAGTGCTCGACCTACAATTAGTGTTGAAACTGCATTATGACTATTACTCATTTAGCATCCGAGTTAGGTAAGAGGCACTTGATGTGCTGTTTTACACTCTCATTTTTTTTTCTAAGCAACAATTGAGGATTTTAAATGTCTGTTAATTGCAAATACAATATTACTGGAAGATAATGATCATTAATTATTGTTGTTAATGCATATTAATGCTATTAATGCATATGCCACTTTACAAATCATTTTCATGAAGACACACACACCAAATGCAAATAACTTGGCCAAAGGGAAGTGCTGGTTGAAATACTGGAGGAAACACAAAGGATGTCATTTAGATGCAGAGGGTCCTGTAATAGAAGCTGATAGGCACTTCGTATTTCACAGTGTATAAATAGCAGTCCTATTCATCATTTTATTTGACCCTCCCACAAAACTATGAAGAAAAAAAGAACAGTTGTTATCATCCTCACTTTACAAATGAGGAATCTGCAGCTCAGGAAGGATAAGTGGCAGACCAGAAATGAAAACTTCGGACTGTAAAATCTCCATCACAAAAGTTTATGGCATTCAGAAACTAAAACAAAAGAATAATAGTAAGGTCCGGGTTATTTTGGCATCAAATGCAAAATTTAATTATATCAGAAAACAGGGATGGGGATATGGCTCAGTGATAGAGCACTTGCCTAGCGTGTGTGAGGGCCTAGTTTCCAACCGTACCACCACAAATAAATAAATATATAAATAAGCAAGTAACATTCCTACAACCTTTCTAATTTATGATGTCAGCCGAGTATAGAAAAATAGTACTTCTTCCAAATTAAAGCTGAAAATGTATTGTCAAAGATGTTTATAAGCTGGGCATGGTTGCACATACCTCTAATCCCAGCGGCTCGGGAGGCTGAGGCAGGAGGATCGCAAGTTCAAAGCCAGACTCAGCAACGGCGAGGTGCTAAGCAACTCAGTGAGACCCTGTCTCTAAATAGAATACAAAATAGGGCTGGGATGAGGCTCAGTGTCAAGTGCCCCTGAGTTCAATCTGTGGTACCCTTCACCCCCCCAAAAAAAAGATATTTACAGATTGGATCCAATTAACCCACTTCCAATATGTTTTAGATCAGAAACAGATGTTTATAGGAACTGAGCATTTTAGTAAATTGATATTAAGTTTAAGATATAATACAACTAATAAATATATCTAACTCTCTAAGTTCGTGAGGCATAAGCACAGAAGTATCCCTTGTGAAATGAACATTTCTCTGACACTCGATCACTTTAAACTATAACACATGCTCATCAGGGCCATGGTTGGCTCTGGCAGCTCTCTGGAGTGTGGGGCAAAGTCCAAGACCCACCTGTTTGCTAGGAGTTTTCCATGAAATGTTATGGTTATCAAATGACTTTTGCTTTTTCTTTTCTTTCTTTCTCTCTCTCTTCCTTTCTTTCTTTTATTGTTTTGTTTTGTTTTGTTTTTCTTCTCTTGTCTCAAAATTGTTTGCTCAAAGAGCCTTCACCTATGGATAACTATTGGAGGCACCAGAGGCGATGCTTTGCAATGTAACAATACAAGCAGAATGTAAAACATTTTGCAAGAAGCTTGTAGGGATAAAAGTGGACATCATAATGTAGGTGTGCTGGCAAAATCATATCCATTGTACCACTCTCATTGGACTGGATTTAAAATATTTTTTTCAAACCCAGGCAGTGTTGCTTTTCAACAAGATGGCAAATTCCAAAGGTCTCAGTAGGACGAAATTTTTGTTAAGTCACACTCAATTATTCTCAGCTTTGTAGTCATCCAGCATTGGGCTCTAATTGTAAAACATATTCATAGTCTATTCATCACTACTCCCATAGTTCTGTCACATAGACATAACTCAGGCAAGATTGCATTCATTCCTTGATTTTTTCCAATAATCACATGAATTTATAAGCTAGTTGGTGACATGCAAACTCGTTGCATTTCAATTTCAGATTTGAGCCCCCTATTACACCCGATGTGCAGATTTTCCAAAACACCATAGGAGACAGCTTTGGCATTGCGATTGTGGGCTTCGCAGTGGCCTTTTCTGTGGCCAGTGTCTATTCCCTCAAGTATGATTATCCAATTGATGGCAATCAGGTAAGTACATAATCTATCCTGGGTCTGATTAGGCAACTGTAAACAATATTTTGTGCTCACAATATTCTTCTAAAACAGAATACTTCTAAGAAAACTTCCTCCTTGTTCTCCTGTCAGGAGTTAATTGCCTTGGGATTGAGTAACATATTTACTGGATCATTCAGAGGCTTTGCAGGGAGTACCGCCCTCTCCAGATCAGGGGTCCAGGAGAGTACAGGAGGCAAAACGCAGGTATTTCAATATCCTTGCTGCAGGGGCCATCCCAGAATTCATACCCGGGAAAACCAAGCTAAGGGCAGAGTGCAAATTGTGAAGAGAACTGTTTTGTCTGCACAGGTTGCTGGGCTCCTCTCTGCTGTCATTGTGTTGATTGTCATTGTGGCCATTGCTTTTCTTCTGGCACCACTGCAAAAGGTAACACTCCTCTCCCTTTAGGTAACATGGTTTTCCTTGGGGTGATACGACAAGGCTCTTGGCTCTTAAGTTCTGAAAGCACAAACTAAACTAGGGAAAATGAGGTAACAGCACACTCTCAAATATTCTCTTTAGCCAGTCCTCCATGGTTCAAAAACATTTTCTTTTCCTCCTGGCAGCATTTTATGAATGTTAGGAATGCAGATGCCCAAACTACCTTATCTACTCTGCTCTGTGCATGTACGTAATGCAGAATATAATTAATGTTTAAGCAGCAGGGCGCCCTGGCACTGGAGCCTCAACATGATTGACTGAAGTGGAAATTTTCTTCAAGGCTGAGGTCATCACAGGCCGTCTATCTAATGCAGAGAGTGGTGCTACCAGCCACACAACCTGTTCTCAAAAATACGCCCTGCAGCTCCTAGAGGTTTGGTTTGACTCCAAAACCAACACTGTCTGCTTGCAGGATGGGAGCAAAAAGTTCAAGGTGTCTAATCAGACCCAGCATAGGTTATGTACTTACCTGATTGCCATCAACTGGATAATCGTCCAGGGAATAGATGCTGGCAAGACACAGACTTCACCTATTCACCCTGGTGCTCCCCTAACTGTGAGGGTTAGTTAAATGCTTGTAAATTGCTGCAGCATCCCCATTTTAAAAAATAACATCAGATGGTAGAAAACATAGGATCGCTAGGAAACCAGATGATGATAAATACAATGCATTGCTCTTTGTGGTTCTAATATGATTCAGAGGTAGTATATAAAGTACTGGGTCAGGAACTCTGTAGATCTACTTCTAATTCTGGCTCTGCCACTTATTTTCTGTGTGCTTCTGTGCCAATAACTTTACCTCTCTGAACCTCAAGTTCTCTATTTGTAAAATAGAGAGGAAATTAGTACCCAACACACACAGCTGCAAAAATTAAATGAGATGGTGTAGATGAAGTACTTAACCTAGGTCATTAACATGAAAGTTCATTAATATGAAAGTCATTAATAGTATTATTATTATTATAAAAAACATTCTATTGTTCTTCTGACTAGAAGGATATATAGTTCACCAATGTCTACTGGCTGTTATTTAAGCTTTTTTCCCAAGTTGGTTAGTAGCTGAAATGTGAATTTCGTCCCAGGCTTCTGGACATCCATTGTGATCGTCCCAAAGAGCTTCATTGGTCCAATCTGTCTTTAAACAATGTGGAATACTGTTTGCCAAAAACACATATCCTTCATATACTGACTCTTGATTTCAAAATCGATAGCATGAAAGACGTCAAGAAGTCACCACTATATAAATAGAAAAAATGTGTACCTCAATAAAATTGATTACGTACACTTACCCTTACATAGAGCACCCTACTGTGTATCCTCAGAGTATAAATGTGGGCTCTTCCTCCCCCAACAACTTGGAGATGCTGAAGAGACAATTGCCATTTAAAATCCTCTTTCCTGAATAAACCACACTCCAGGACATTGTCCAGAATGTCAATCAAAACACCTTCCTCAAAGAATCCACGTGATAATTCTCTTTAGATGATCGTGTCAGGAATGTCATTCAACCTGAATAGCAAGTTTGCTTCTTTTCATCATATGAAGGAAAAATAGCTCATAATAAATTGGACTACATTTGTTGAGTACTTTATTTGTTATATATTTATTTATATATAAATATATTTATATATTTGTTAAGTATCAGCAGAGTTTTAAGCATTTTATACCTATTTAGTCCTTTATATTAATTGCAATGTGAATGTCAGGTTCCTGGTAAAATCATCCTCCTTTCTTTTCTATGCTTTCTCAATGCTCTACTCTACTTTTAAAAGTACTCTATTGTATATATATATTTCATTATAAATTGCTTCAAAGTATTGTTCCATAGAATACTGACCAGTTGGGAAATAACACCTAATGAAAAAAAAAAAAAGTCTCTAAAAGGTTGTACTTTACCTATTTCACACTTATACTAAAGTCCTACAAAAGAAGGAGGGCCATTGAGTACAGAGTCCTGTGAGTCTCACACCAACAACTACAGCAGTGACATTTCTTTTTTTAAAACATTTTTATTAGTTGTTGATGAATTATTTTTTACTTATTTGTATGTGGTGCTGAGAATCGAACCTAGGAAGTCACACATGCTAGGCAAGCGCTCTACCGCTGAGCCACAACCCCAGCCCCAGCAGTGACATTTCTTAAAGCTGTAGTACACTATCAAAACCTGGGCATTGACATTAGTACGGTACTAGTAAATAGATTACAGACTTTGTGCTGTTTCCCCCTACTTCTTAACTGACATTTATTTGTATGCAATTTCCTTTTTAAAGTTACTTAAGACCATGTTTGTCTAAATAATGATCTCTAGTCTCAGAATGAATCAAATGAACAGCTTAGATAATGAAATGTGAAAGTTACTTGTGAAAATTAGAAATACCTGAATCACTTAAACTGTCTTCAAGATATAAAAACAAATGCTGCATTTTTTTGGATATCGGGCTTTCACGGTATGGAAGTAGTCAGTATACTCAGAGCAGAACAGCTCGTATGTTGCGGGGGCATTCCTACCATTGTGTTAAAATCTGAATAAGGATGCATATACTTAGCTATTCAGCAGGTTTCACCAGACTTAGCACAACTCTCACAAGACCAATTATGGCATTCTTGGGTGCAAAGAACTGGAAGCCTGAAGCTTATTTGAGGAAATCTGAGTTTAGTGAATCCATAATTCTGTGATGTCAACACTAGGGCTTTGTGAGAGGCTGTGTTGTCAGTGGCAAGTACTAGCGTGGGGAATATTAGTTTGTTATTAATTATTCAGCTGAATAATTATAGAGCCACTCCCATATGCATTTACTGTAGTACCTTCTGAGGGTACACCAGGAAACAAGACACATACAGTTCATGCTGTCAGAGAGCCTACCTCAAGTCTTGGTTAACTTTTTGGGATCTTTAGCTTCCTCTTACAAAATGGCACCATTGCTGGTCTTCACCAAAGATTGGGATTCTCATTCCAGAACCTCAAGTTCCCAAAGCTTTTTTTTTTCCCCACAAAGGGCAACCCCCATCTCCTCAACTTTAATAAATAGATACACATTACACGGGCTTTGCTTAGGGAAGAATTTATTCTAGAGCTTACCTGCCAAAGGTCTGAAGATCTACCTTTCTCTGTCCCAAGGTGGAGGCTAGTAAGTGCCATCAGATCATCTATGGCAAAATCACAAAGAGCAATTCAGCCCTTGTCACTGTGGGGACAATAAATGCAGGGGCTAGGTCAGAGTTCTAGCTCTAATGTGTCTGTCTTGCATGGCATTGGACACTGGAAAAGGGTGTATTCTTTGATATGCTTTGAGGCCCACTAAAGGACTCACTTATCTGCAGCCTTCACCTTTGCTTCTATATGGTTTATTTGATTAACTTAAAGTACATCTGCTGTCTCTGTGTTTCACAGTCTGTCCTGGCAGCTTTGGCACTTGGAAACTTAAAAGGAATGCTGATGCAGTTTGCTGAAATAGGCAGATTGTGGCGAAAGGATAAATATGATTGTGTAAGTAGATGCAATGGTACTGGAAAAAGAGATGACTCAGGATGGTAGTTTATTTGTTGATGTAAAATATATATTTACATTGTAAACTCTATGAAATTTTATTTTTATATGTCTGTTCAAAACAACCTCAGATTGTTTGATTTGCCGTCTTTAAATTGCATACTCTAATGGACATTCTCTGATATTTTAATATAAAAGGTTGGACTCCCACAAGTAGAAAATGCTCCACACAGCACTAGTGCAGGACTTTCTTAGATCTACCTTCTTCTTTTTTTTTTTTTTTCAGTACCAGGGATTGAACCCTGGGATGCTTAACCACTGAGCCATATTCCCAGCCCCTTTATCTTATTTTATTTAGAGACAAGTTCTCACTGAGTTTCTTAGGGTCTTGCTAAATTCTTGAGCCTGGCTTTGAACTGGTGATTCTCCAGCCTAAGCCTCCTGAGCTGCTGGGATTACAGAAGTGAGCCGCCATGCCTTGCAAAACCTAATTTTTTCTTACAGTCATCATGAATGCCACAGAAACTCTGAATTTTAGGGGTGGATTTTACTTTTGTTCAGAATTGAAATTCTGAACATTCCTTCTGGAAAACACTTTTTCTTTTGAAAAGGCTCCCCCTTGCTCTCAACATGCCTTGCTGTGAGAAGCACAGTCCATAATTTACTCAAGGCCAAAGTCTATGGTGTAAAAATGCTTGTCGGCATACACTGTGGTACTTAAAGAACATAAAGTAATAAGTTACCCTTGGTTTACTTTTGTTCCTGATAGATCATTGTGGGGATTTAAACACCCTTTTGGCATGCTAAAAGTCTCTTAGAAACAGTAGCCATTGATTAAGTGAGCAGACCAAGAATTAGATTGGTATAGGCTCTACCAGTTAATCTTCTGATTTTAACTACTAGGCTGGTTCTGAAATTTTTGTTGTGAAAAGTAGACTGTTTCTTTACTGGTTCAGAGGTGAAATTAGAAATAGATGCATTTTCTTTGGCTCTTTTTATATTTGCTAGTGTTTCTGTGGCACAGACCCTGGGTCTGCAGAAATGACCTCTCAAGACAGTCCTCCTACGTACTTTGCTCCCTGGACCAAGATAACAACTTCCAACCTCTGCTTTTGGCCCCGGAAGTTCACACGTTCTCATAGCTCTGGGCATAAAACATTGTACTTTACTCAAAGTAAATTGTATGCATCTGTTGCTTTCTTTTTACAGTTAATTTGGATCATGACCTTCATCTTTGCCATTGTTCTGGGACTCGGGTTAGGCCTGGCGGCAAGTGTGGCATTTCAGCTCCTCACCATCGTGTTCAGGACCCAGTTGTGAGTGCTCATTGTTCTCTGCATCCTGGCAGGCTTCGACCTGCACAATCAGAAGAGTAAAAACTTTGTCAAGGGTTAAGAGGAGTTTGGCTAATAGGCATGCATATCTATCAGGACTAACAAGTACAGCCTTCCTCAGATTGCTCACCTTAAGGATGGAAGGGTAATAGAATGGCCCAGCTACAGAGCGAGAGCCCAAGGAGAAGCTTGCTTCTGGTCTACTTCTGGCTTTGATAATAATTCAAAGAAATCATTTAGATCTCTGAGTCTGTTTGCCCACCTGTAAACCAGAAGTGATCTATGCTAAGTGAGTTTAATTTCATTGTCTCAGACCTGTTAAAACACGGGAATGTGTTACTGAGAAGACAGTGAAATTCTCCAGCCTTCTTCATAGGTTATTAAATTGCACTCTCATCTTAAAAGCCTGGAGCTGGGTTAGAGAACTTCTCAAAGGCCCCTCTAGGTCTTAATGTTCCACAAAGACTGGAATTATTCTTAATAGTCATGCAGTTCAAGCATCTTTCTGATGTTTAAATCTTTGTCATGTATCAACCTGTATTGTATTAAGTGGTGTGATTATAAGGAAAAAGAAGGCTCCATGGGAACTAAGGGTTTCTAGGGCAGAAGTCACCATAATAGTTAAAGTGATTCCTTGACTAACAGAATATACTGGTATTGAAATACATTGGTATTGCTTTTGCACTTTTTTATTCATTTACATTTTTATTGGATTCTTTACTGGGGACCCATCAAATACAGAAACAAACTGAATGGTCATATAATCAAGTAATTTTACTTTTCCATGTCTTCATTCATATCACTGCCTTACCTCCCTTAAAAAGCTATAGTATCCAGAATGAACATGGCAAAAGGTTATGGCATTGCTTTGTAAACTGGCAAATAGGAAACACTGTTTTAGGAGCTGTGGGAGGACACAAAGATAAGTAAGCAAAGTGTCTGCCATCTAGAGTCTCTGATGGCATAATGATTCCCCAGTTTTTTAAACTGAAAAGTGAACCTGTGTTGATATGCTAGAAAGAAAACAATGTTAGCTTATAGGTCTAACAAATATGCATGAATAATTTATTTGCTGTTGTTTTTCCCTACAGTCCAAAATGTAGTACACTGGCTAATATTGGAAGGAGCAACATCTATAAGGACAAAAAAGACTATTCTGATGTAAGGGAGCTTCATTTTTGTCTTTGACTTGCTAAATGATATTTATATGAATCTACTGGGTACCATCTAATATTCCTTCTCTGCCTTATAGATGTATGAGCCGGAAGGAGTGAAAATTTTCAGATGTCCATCTCCAATCTACTTTGCAAACATCGGTTTTTTTAAGCAGAAACTTATAGATGCTGTAAGGTTTGGGGTTGTTCTTCTTTTTTTTTTTTTAATTTTGTTGAGTCTCTGGGAATGAAATGTTTGGTTTTTAACAAGAACGTTATTGACTTCATGTATTCTGAGGCTGAGTTGTATCAGCGTTTTTTGTGTTCCATGTCCCACGGCAGGTGAAACTGCCATATAAGGGATCCATTAATGTGTTCTGAAATAAGCCTCTTTAGATGAGGTCCAATATAGAATCCTTTAATCCAATTCTGCTATAGAGTAAAAAAAAAAAAAAGACTTACCACAGGTTTAGACTGCTGGTTTTTAATAGATATTATCTTACATATTTTCTTTGGGCATCAACTTCAGAGACAACAAAGGAGCATTTAATATTTGACTGGATCATGGAAGAGATAACAGTTGTAAATGAATATTTAACAGTAAATACTGGGTGTTGGTAAAGGTGAGAAGGAAGCAGTCTTTAATATTGGGAAACAAAAGCTCAGAACTCTTCCTAGATACAGACCTTTTGGTCTGATCTGTGCCTTGCATAAAGTTGCCCTAAGCCTCATTATCATTCAGTATGCATCAGATATTACACTACCTAAGTTGGGTTTTTGTTTTTTGTTTCTTTTTTTTTTTCTTCTTAAGACTCCAGACAGCTTTTATTGAAAAGATTATATGTGGTGCTGAGGATGGAACACAGGGCCTCACACATGCTAGGCGATTTCGCCACCGCTGAGCCACAACCCCAGTCCCTTGGTTTGTTTTTTTGGTTTTTTGTTTTTGGGTAGCAGGGATTGAACCTAGAGGCATTTAAATGCTTAGCCATATCTCCAGCTCTTTTTTATATTCTATTTAGAGGCAGGGTCTCACTAAGTTGGTTAGGGCCTCAATAAGTGCTGAGGCTAGCTTTGAATTCTCAAAACTCCTGCCTCAGCCTCCGGAGGCACTGGGATTATAGATGTGCACACCACCATGGCCGGCTGCAACTATTTTTTAAAATGGGATCCTTTTGTATATATGGCTTTCTATATTCCCTTTCCACTTAATCTAGTATCTTTCCCTCTAACTACATTTTTTTTTTTGGCCAAAGATTTTTGTTACATATTTGATCCCCCTTTCTTACTACTCTTGAACTAAAATTATAGCAATAAGAACACATTTGTATTGAAAAGGGGGAAATGAAGGTTAACTCCAGAGCTAATAACAAAATTATAAAATAAAGTCATATAGGGATAGGTTTTATAAAATATAATCAAATAAATTGTAATAGAACAAAAATTATATACAGAAGCAGAATTCTCATTAGGTATCACTATACTCAAATAAAATTCCCTAACAATAGTGAGGGCTCAAAATACAAAAGAATTCAAATGAGGCTTACATCTATTAATGTATCATTTGTAGATAACTCCTGGACTGTATGGAGAATTTTAAATGTTGATAATTGCATATGGACTAAGGGAATCACAGGTCTGACGCAATGTTGTTGCCGATGTTGTTTAAATCATGTTTGGATTTTATCACAGTATCCTTATTTTGTGTCCTAAGCCCCCAATGCATGGCTAGTTATAAGAATTATGCTATCGAGGTAGAATATTCAGTACTCTTGTAACAGAGCAATGGGTTTTTCAGGTTGGCTTTACTCCACTTCGAATTCTACGCAAACGCAACAAAGCTTTGAAGAAAATTCGAAAACTGCAGAAGAGAGGCCTGCTACAAGTGACACCCGTGAGTTGCCTGGCCCATTCCATGTGTTATATAGTTAACAGTTCAGTAAGATATAAGTCAAGGTGTGAGTCCTGTTCCTTTAAATGAAATGCCAGATAAACAAGTTATTCCATGTGTCACTGTTATTTCAAAAATGGTCTCCTCAAATTTTTTGTCTTGGGAAAAGTACCAAGACAAGTGTCTACAGTCCCATTGCTTGACCTGACTTTAAATCTATGCTCTAGAAACTCCTTGGTTATCCTCAACATATCCCTTTCTTACTACTCTTGAACTAAAATTATAGCAATAAGAACACATTTGTGTTGAAAAGGGGGAAATGAAGGTTAGCTCCAGAACTAATAACAAAATTATAAAATAAAGTCATATAGGGATAGATTTTATAAAATATAATCAAGTTATGTTTTTCACAGTTAGAATTATCATGCTTGTTATCCTCTCCTGCAGAAAGGATTTATATGTACTGCTGATGGATTCAAAGATTCTGATGAAGAGCTAGACAACAATCAGATGGAGGAACTAGATCAGCCCATCAATACCACAGATCTGCCTTTCCAGATAGACTGGAATGCTGATCTTCCCCTCAACATCATGGTCCCCAAAATCAGCCTCCACAGCCTTATTCTCGATTTTTCAGCAGTGTCCTTTCTTGATGTTTCTTCAATGAGGGGTCTCAAAACGGTAATTTATTTATTTTTCTTAATGGAAATAATCAATCATTAACTAAAAGTAAAAATTATAGTTATGGAAGGATGTTCCTTTAGATAATACACACTGAATTAGAGGTAAAATTTAATCTTACAATATTCCATGAAAGGGCTGAAGGGGAGGGAGTGGTGTGTTCCATGAATTCTTTAAAACTGCATTTCCCATGGAACTGCTTACAATTTTGAAGGTGACCAAACCCCATTCTAAAGTAGGCTGAACCTTCTCTCAGACAACTATGCTCACACTCCTGTACAATCTGGTCATTGAAAATGGTGCTTTCAAATCCTGTGGGCATGTATCTAACATTATCCTGAAAGATTTGGAAAGGTCAGGGAAACAGCGGAATAGTGAGTCTTTTTTTTAATCCTCATTCATTATAAGTTGATGAAATTTCACTTGGCTATTTACAATAATATCAAAAAACAGATATATAAAAGAACAAGAGTTACATGTGATTTAAAAATATGGCAAAAACAATCAAGTTGCAGGTCTTTCCACAATTTCATTAACATTTTTAAAAGCAAATAAATATGCAACAAAGATGCAAAAACAGAAAATTTAAGAAATTCTACATTTTCCTTAGGTTTTCACAGAAATCTTCCTAAGTAATCTGAATTAAGATAAGATCTATTAAATATGAATAAGCTGGACACAAAATTAGGAAATGGGATCAGTTTAGTTTTCTTCCAACTTATCTTGAAATTGGTTTTGACACTACATAATTCTCAAGACTGCTTGCCTTTTCTTTTTTAGTTTCATTTTTGTTTATATTAGCTTTTTTTTTTTTTTAATCCCAGCAGCATAGCACAAAGGACAGGGACAGGGGTTTTTTTCAAGCCCCAGCTCTTAGCTCCAGATTTCTAAAAATGTTTGTTGATGATGGTGATAATATTCATCATCAGCATCTAACCTGATCAACAGTTCATGGAACTGTTTAATATTGCTCCTATCATCACTGATATCTATTTTTAGCCTAAAGACTAATACAGAGGATAAATATTCCTCAGTGCTAGATATATCAAGTAACTGTGGACAGGAACAATGAATGACATATAGGCCGTAGTGTTTTGTTTTAATGTTATGTACCCAGAAAGCTCTAGTTCCTATCATCCTCACTAATGATATTAGTTTAAAATTAAATCATAGAGCCAGGCACAGTGGCTCATGCCTGTAATCCCAGCCACTTGGGACGCTGAAGCAGGAGGATGGTGAGTTCAAGCCAGCCTCAGCAATGGCGAGGCATTAAGCAATTCAGTGAGACTCTGTCTCTAAATAAAATACAAAATAGGGCTGGGGATGTGGCTCAGTGGTTAAGTGCCCCTGAGTTCAATTCCCAGTATCAATAATAATAATAATAAATTAATTAATTAAATCATTCTTGATGTTATGAGTTTGAGGCATGAGATTTTCTCAGAACACTTCCCTCAAGATTGATCATTTTTAACTTCTTATTGAGGAGGGAGGAGGGCTGTTCTATTCAGGTTTCTTTCTTTCTCTCATAGAGCCTTGTTTTTAACTTTAGTATCTACCTATGCTATTACCTCTTTTCAAAATGTAAAAGGTTCTGAAAGTAATATATCCCCCAGAATTGTTTTCCTTATGTATCTGATAAGTGATACTGTTCCCTAAAAAAAAAAAAAAAAAAAAAATGCACTTTTTTTTAAACAGATTTTGCAAGACTTTATCAGGATCAATGTGGATGTGTATATTGTTGGAACTGATGGTAAGTTCTTTTATATTTATTTTATGCTCTGATACTAACTGCAGGCTCACTGCCAATGCTTGATCTAGACAGCCTCTCCAAAAAACAGGTATTTTATACAATCATCAAAAAGGAAACCTAATTCGCAATTGAGCCAATAAAATTCCCTATGGAAACAGTTTCACTGTGTTTGAGTTGTGTTGATATATAATTAAATGAATTTTACAGTTTGAATTCTTAGTAAGCATCAAATGAGCAAACATTATTTTTTTACTCCAAACTTGCTGCATTAGTCATGTTTTGTGTCTCTCTTCCTCTCTTCCCTTGCATTCCTCTGCTATAACATCTTGATTTAGGCTTCCCTTGGATAATGAGAATGCCCTTGTCAATGTTATGGTGATGTCCAGCTTCTCAAGATTAATGGCCTCCTTTTCAGTCTCCTCCTGCTGGAGCTTGCTTGAACATATGACCGTTTCATTGGCATTTGTCTTCAAAATTCTCACTCCCTTGACTTCTGTGAGTTGAATTCCCCTCCTACCTCTCTAGTATTTCCTCTGTTTCTGACACTGGTGCCTCTCCTATCCCTTAGCAGTTTGTCTTCCCAGCCTTCTACCTTAAACTCCACAGTTCTTCTTCCATGAACTCCTAGTCAATATCCTTAATGGATCCCCATACCATACCTCCAGCCCAGACCTTTCTTCTGAGCTGCAGATCCATGTATTCAATTGTCTGCCTGTCCCCCCCAGGCACCTCCGACACACGTATTCTAAACTATATAAATGACCCTTCCTTCCTTCCTAAACTGCTCCTTTCCTATGTCAATTACCACATCACTTTTCATCCAGTTGCCCAAAATGGAAACCCCAGAACTCTCTTTAATTTCTCCCTCTCTCCTTCCCTTTACAGGTAGTAAGCCACCAGCTCCTAAAAATATTTCCCCTTAAGTCAGTCTCTTCCTTGGGCGGGGATGTGGCTCAGTGGTAGAGTGCCTGGAAAGCATGAGGCTCTGGGTTCAATCCCCAGCACACATCTCCCCGCTCCCCTCCCCAAAAAATCAGTCTCTTCCTCTCCATTTCCACAGCCTTAACCCAGATCATTATAAGACCTTTCTAACTAGTGTTTTTGTCCATTGCTAGAATGATCTCTTATCTCATTTTTTTTTTCTGACTAGAAAATTCCTTCTAGAATTTTCCCCAACAATAACTGTGACAATTTCTTCCTTACCCAGGCAGTGCACTGGATCTTCAGACTGTTTGCATCTGTAGAATGCACATCACATAATTCTGCGGTTCTGTGTTTGCGTCCCCACTAGACTGTAATCTCTTCCAAGGGCAGTTATTAGTATTGTTTACCTAATTATCTAGTTTAGAACATGCCACACAACTACTATTTGCTCTGGGAGTGGCTATAGCAGTGAATGACAAATCCCTGCCCTTGTGGAGCTTATAGTTTCATGGGAAAGTCAAATAATAAACAAAGCAATATTTAAGATAGTACTATAAAGAACAAAGCAGGGGATATAGAGCCATGGGCATGTTGCTATTTTAGACTAGCCATTAGGGATACCCAGTAATGTGACCCTTGAGAAGAGACTAAAATGAAATATGGGAGTCAACCTTGACATTATCTGAAGTGTATTTTAAGTGTTTTTATTTTAAGTGTATTTTAAGGAGTATCTTGTACAACTAGTACACAGATCTGCAAGGAGACAGAATTAGCACCTTTAATCTCTCTTGCCCCCTATCCCAAGTCTACAGATATATTCAGTTCAAGGGTTGCTTAAAATTATAAATGTTCTCACTCAACTATTAACTCTTAATTTACTAAACAATTTTATTCCTTCCCCATCATTCCAGATCTCTTTGAAAGTGTCCATTCCTGCTGCCTGGTATCCCTTCTCAGTCAAACCAACATCATCCCTCTCCCCTACCCTCTCCCTCGGTCACCTGTCAAAAGCTTGCCTGTGAGCACTTTCCCATCTCCATACTTTTGCTCCTCCTCTTCTTCCACCTTTCTCCAAATCATAGATACTAGAAAAGTGACATCTATTCAGTTAATTTATCCCAGATACCCACCAAGAGGAAACAATTTTTACCTACTGTCTCAGAATTTCCATAGTACATACATGTCCTGCACCTCTCTTCTTGAACAACAAAAAGATAATATGAATACCTATTGTGAGCTGGGCATTATTTTTGAAACTAGTAATAAAGAAAAAACTGGACTGCTCCTTTCCCTAATTATTTTATAAAACACTTTTTCCTTTCAGTACTACAATTATATATAAATATTCTATGTTCCTCCAGGGTGAGATTCAGATCTAATTTGCCTTTTGATCCTTTTTATTACTCAGCCAGAACTTTGCACATAGTAGACATGAAGTCATATTTGGTTGAATGATCTGTACAAACAAATGCTGTTTAGTGCCTATGAGAATGGGATTTCTCAAAGGTGATGGCAGTGGTGATATGAAATCCTAAGGAAGATGCTTTCTAATAAATCCCGGCAGCTCTGGGAAAATGGGCTACAGTTAAGTAACTGGTAAATGATAGGTTTGGCAATCAAAAACCAAAGCATATCACAGATCTATCATGTTTTGTGTTTTGAAAGAATACCAATTTTTAATAACTATATTTGATGTTCTAGCCATTGAACAGGGAGATTAACTTACTAGGTTCCTGCCTAAATAAATGTGGATTAATTTTCCAGGAACTACTTCAGATTTTCCCATTTGAATCTTTTCCTTCTTCCTTTTTACAGTAGGGCATTAAACAGGTATGTTTATTAGAAAGGTACTCTTTAATTCCAGGAGACATTGCACTAGTGATACAAAGTTATCCTATTGTTGGAACCCACACTTAACCAAATGTCAATGAAATGCACATTTGCAAATGGAATTTTAAATTATCAACCTCAAGAGGAAAACCTGCAGCCAATAACTTCTTCCTAAGTGTGACAGTTTCTTTTCTCTCTTCAGATGATTTCATTGAGAAGCTTGCTCGGTGTGAATTTTTTGATGATGAAGTAAAGGACTCAATATTTTTCTTAACAATTCACGATGCTGTTTTGCATATTTTGATGAAGAAAGATTATAGTAATTCAAAGTTTAATTTCAATCAGGTACCAGCTCTTTGATGACATCACATTTATAACAAACCATTTGCATTTCTTAATTTTTCATTATATTTGAACATTTTAAAAACTATACTTTCATTCTTTTTCTTAGAAGAAAGAAATGAAATCTGATTTTACCATAAATACAAATGGAGGATTGCGTTATCGGGAATATCAGGTAAGATTCTTCAACAGACTTATCTTTATCTAGATATCACAGCAAATAAATAAATAAATAAATAAAGTAGTAGGGCCTCTTCCAGCATACTGTAAAAAGTCTAGTAGTTGTTTGTTTTTGAGTCTCTCTGCCTCATCCCTAGAAAACTGAAGCAATGCCAACCAATCTCATGGGAAATTTTGAAGAAAATTAACTCAAACCAGTAAAAACAACCCCCCCCCAAAAAAAAAAAATAAAGCCAGGATAGAAAACAGTGATGATAGATCTCTATTCATACAGTACTGAGAATATCTTTTTTTATTTTTCAAACTACTTATAGCCATGATCTTATTCTAGCCTTGTACTAAGTCATGAGACAGAAGAGGTATTGCTATTGCTGTAAATAGATGAATTAGTGATGGAGTTGAGAAACTAATCCAGGTGCATGGGATGTCCTTAGCACAGTGCTTAGCTCAACATGAAAGTTAAGTTCTTTTCCTTCCTTATGAGATGACTTACCAATCACTTAACTGGATAGTTCCATTTCATTCTAGAATGTCAAATCAAAATGGGTTTCTGTTGCAGGACAGGTATATGGTGGTGGATCCCATTCATTAATTCAATCCTTACAACAATATACAAAGAGGATATCAATATTAGAAGTGAGGAAATTGGGAAAGAGTTTCAAAAAATTTGCTTAAGGTCACACACCAAATGACTATAACAGAATTTAAACTAGCACCTACTGAGGACAAGACCTGAGCTCTGTTCACAATAACTACTTGTATTCTTTGATGAAAGACTAATGGATTGAGGATCCTGCAAAAATCTACCAACTTATCTTCAAATACAAGAAGACTGGTGGTATTTTTCTTAACTGAGGAAAGGTCTAAGACAGCAAAAAAGAATGTAGATTAGAAATGAAGAAATGTTTAATGTAAAATAACCTGGACCAAAGAGTAATAGCAAAGGTTAAATGAAGAGGTCATTGCAGAAAGTTAGGGAGACCAAAGATGAGAGGAGAGTCAAGTACCACCATGCTACCTTCCAACACTGGTTGAATGATCTGTAGAAACAAATGCTGTTTAGTTCCTATGAGAATGGGATTTCTCAAAGGTGATGGCAGTGGTAATATGAAATCCTAAGGAAGATGCTTTCTAGTAAATCCTGGCAGCTCTGGAAAAATACAAACTCAGCTCCTTGCCCAAGTACAATAAAAAGTACCTGGAGATAAATGCTCTATCTGATGTGTGTGTGGTAAGAATTTGTTCCTAATTAGTAGGCTCTCCATTCACCTGATTGTTTCTTTTGCTTCTTTTGCTGAGAAGAAGCTTTTTAGTTTGAGTCCATCCCATTTATTGATTCTTGATATTAATTCTTGTGCTATAGGAGTCTTATTAAGGAAGTTGGGGCCTAATCCAACATGATGGAGATTTGGGCCTACTTTTTCTTTTAATAGACACAGTGTCTCTGGTTTAATTCCTAGGTTCTTGACCCACTTTTGAGTTTTGTGCATGGTGAGAGACAGGGGTTTAATTTTCTTTTGTGGCATATAGATTTCTAAAACCCAAGAACAGTGTTTAAATATGATGCTGATCCAAGCTTTAAAACTTTAAAACAAGGAACCATGCTGTACCTTGCCTTCCCATATTAAAAAAAGAAACATTTTGGCTGGGCTCAATGGCATGTGCCTATAATCCCAGTGTCTCAGGAGGTTTATGCAGGAATATTGAGAATTTGAGGCCAACCTCAGAAAATTAGTGAGGCGCTAAACAAATGAGTGAGACCCTGTCACAAAATTAAAAATGAAATAAGAGGGAATGTGGTTCAGTGGTAAAGCACCTCTGGGTTCAATCCCTAGCACCAAAAAAAAAAAAAAAAAAGTAACAACACTCCTGACTTTGCTTAGAGGAAGTCAGCATTTGTGGATAGGCTACTAGCAATAATTAGAGGTAAAAACTGAATGTGGCTGGGGCCAGGCACTGTGCTACGAAAATTCCTTGGAGGAATTCCTTGGAGTTTGTGTGGTCCCTAAAACAAATATAAAGAAATATATTTCGACAAAACATTATATTGTTATTTTGATTGGGCAAAAGCAAGTCTTTGAAACACACACATACTAAAAATAATATAACATGGATCTACATTAATCAAGTAGTAAATCATCAGTGCATTCTGATCACTAAAATTGAACACAAAAATATTTCTTGATGACTCCAGAAAATGCAACTCCTAAAATGATTATTGAAAGACAAAATTTAACAAATCTTTTAAAACAAGAACTTTTTCTTTTTGCAGGTACCACTTGAAACAAAATTCTAATCAAAATATAATTCAGAGGGACCCTCATCTGGCTGTCACATGAAGAACAACTTTATACCCAGAAAGTTATTGATAAGTTCATACATTGTATGAAGAATATTTGTATTTGACAGAATTATGTTTCAAACTTTGGAACGAGATTGTTCTAGCATGGTATATTTTTCACATATCTATATAAAATTATGTAAATACTCTTTAATTTTATACCTGTAGATTTATCAAAGGAAAATTATTTTGTATATATGTATTTTTGTAGCACTGTCAGATTTCCATTCAAGTGAGAACTTTCACAATGCTTTGCAGTGTCTTTATACCACTGCTTTGAATCTCATAATTTATACAAGTCATGCTAATATTTCTCCATTTTAAAAAATTCAGTTGTACAGCAAATGTGTTGTTTTATTAAATTTGTTATAAGCTTTCTGATACATGCTTGCTGTGGGTCCTTTTTATAGTGGTCTGAATAGAAAACTGCTACATGAGAATCTTAACAAAACCCCTGTGATGAGACTTCTCTGCACAGATTTTATGACTGCTCCTCCAGCTTTTTAAAATATCTAACCTACTATCCAGATTGACACAATCCTCCTAATGTCATATGTGTAACTATAATTAGCTTTTGAGGCAAATCCTTATTTTCCCCTTCTTACTATGAAAAATGTATAGGCTAATGTGGGCTATAAAATGACAAAGCAAGGTAAAAAGAGAGACCATGATGGATAGATAGCCAATTTTTCCTGGCCTCAATGGGAAGAAAACAAGTGGTAGGAAAAGGGATGACTCTTTTCTTTTTTCACTGCTGGTCATTGCAACTGAAAGGGCAGAATAACATTTCTCGAGCTCAATTTCACTAGAGAATGAGATTCAGTACCCAGGCTTCTTTCTCACTGGCATTGTTCCAAACATCTTGTCAATGGGAAAAGCTGTCTCAATTGTTTTAGATTTATCTTTCAACATTTATTGTCAAAATACTCTTTCATCCTTTGTTAACAGTGTCTTATACTGAGAGGGTTTGTTTACTGGATGTAAGCCCAAATAGAGAAAAGCATAATAAAGGTTATTTACATAGCAGATCTTAAACTATAATATCAGTACTCTTTACAGTGTTTCTTAAACAGTTTGAATCATGAACATCTCATACAGTTTTATGCACCTTGTGGATTTTAGGGGAAAAAAATATACATACACATGTATGTGTGCCCTACAAACCTCAGAATAAGATCTTTTCCTTGATATAAGGTATAGACTAGAAATTGAAAACAGGAGTCTATTTAAGTGATCATTTGACTTGAGCAGGGGACAAATGCTTTATATAGGGCTGTGGCTGAAGGCTACAGTATCTTCCCAGGAACTGATGCCCTCCACATTCTTGCCAACCAAGATCACAGGGAACAGGCACAGGTGCTTCAGTTGTCAGGCCCACATCACCACACATTCAACTTTTATATCCTGAAATGTTTCTTTTCTTCTAGGTCTCTAAGGTGGATATGCTTTGAGTAGTGGGAACATGTGGGCCTGGGCCTCTACTTAGTAAGCAGTAGAATTTATTTACTAGTACAGAAATCTGACCCCTGATTTAGGATAAGGTTAGGAGATCACGATGCAAGATAGAAATAAAATTATGTAAACTAGAGGAAGATTGAAGGAGAAAACACAATTGGGAGACAGAACCACCTTGAGGAGACACAAATACATTATTGAAATTAAAAAGTTTGAAGCTATACATGTTGAGCAGTTTGTCTTATAATAATTAAACATTTGATAAATATTTGTAATAAGTTGCTACTTAGAAACATAAATAAAATGCTTTAAACAAAAGTCTGACTATTCACTGTATGAACAAGAATAGAAGAGGAATAATTAATTCACTTTTTTTGGTACTTCTTCCTGGATTTCACCTTGTTGAAACTGATCTGCTCCCCTTATTGTGTTCTACCAGCATATTTTCTGACTCTGTGATTCTACAACTCCACTCTTCAGGCTGCTCAGGCTGACAAATCTATCAGGAAATCCTATTGACTATGTAAACATACAATCAATTAATTCTCAAAATAGCCCTTACAGGTAGACACTATGATTATGCTGACTTTATAACAAAGTAAAACAAGGCTCAACAAGGATACAAAAACTAGTCTAAGGTATATAGTTGCAGAAACCTGTCCAGAAATCCAACTTCAGAGCCCAGGTTTTTAATTAGGAAATATTACTTCCTAAAGGAAATTAAGACCTGTCTAAAAACTGATCTATTTCAAAGCTGGACATTTTTAAAGGTTAAAAAAAAAAAAATCCTGCCACTACAACTTGAAAAATACATAAAAGAAAATCTCTTGAGAAAATCTTAGGGATGACTATCAAGGACAATTCCAAGACAAGTTAAATTGTGAGCCCCTAAGGGGCAGGGACTGTATCTTTTTTGTTCATTACTACATACCCACATCTAATACATATTAGGTGCTTAATTTTTATGTATATTTATTTATATACATATATGTATCCTTCCTCAAGTCACCCAGTTCTTAATGCCTACAATGCTACCACCATTATCTCTTGTGTAAAGTATTAGAACACCCTTCTGAATTGTCTCTGCCAGATTCTCCACTCTTTTAGTCAGGAGGCTACAATGGCTTCTCAAATCTATCGGAGCAGAGTCAAAGTCTACAAGGCCTATTATTTCCCTATTCCATTATTATCTCTGACTCCCCCCGCCACACACACACACATATATAACACTGGCTATTAAACTCAAGGTCTTTCTTGTACATGCTAAGAAAGTGCTCTACCACTGGCCTAAAACCCCAGTCTTTGACCTCCTAGTATCTCATTTATTCTACTCCAGACTCCTTGCTTCTCCTCAAATATGCAAGGTGCAATCTCATTTCAGGCCTTTACAAACTGCGCACTATGCTTCAAAAGCTCTGACCTACATTATCTACCTGACTTTCACTCAATATTTTTCATCAAATGTCACTTTTTCAATGAGTTCTACCTAGTCCATTTTACTTAAAATCACAAACACCTAGTCCAATTACCCTTTTTTTTGCATAAGATTTTACCACATGGTCTACAATCTAATGTTTATAAATCACTTTGTCTCTTTTAAAGATTGTGCATCCCACCTATCTGGAGCAGGGTCAAATTCTTTACTAAGGCCTTTCCATCACTGAAAAATACTTTCAGAATGCTTAAAATAACACTTGTGTTACAAGTTTAAAACTTTACTTAGTGCTTACTTAGCACTATGTCTAGTGCATAAATATTTGAATGAATCTTCATATTCCACAATAGGAACTCAATATATAATTATTGAATAGAGGTTATGAAATTTACATTTGGCATGGATTAAGATGCTTACCAGCTGAGCATGTCTATTTAAATGTCAGATCTATAAAATGATTAGTCATACAAGTCAGTTTTAACAATTAACAAGACTTATCAGAAGCTCACTGGGCAAGTGGTTGAAGGTATCTCCTCTGCCTTTATTTGTAATATTAGTTTGTTTCCCCACAGGATATCATACCTGTGTAACTGAAAGTGACTAAAATTTTTTAAAAAATAAAAGATTTTAAACAAGGAAGTAAAGTAAAATGGAGCAGGAAATTTCCAATCTGAAGGCAAAAGGACAATTTAACAGAAAATGTGCAGCAGTCCAGCTGGGCACAATAACCAGGAGGTGAAAAGCAACTTGAAGGTTGAAACGGGAACTGCTTTATTGCGGGGAAACTCAGTGGGAACTGAGCTGGAACTCAAGGTAGCGGGCACCCAAGGTAGCATGAGCCGCTTTATTACAAAACAGCAGAGGTATATATACCTAACTGATTACACACTGCTTGACTCAATTAGCATCATCCTGTTACAGCAATCAGCCAATAAGGAATCTCCACCAACTTAATGGCTCAGTGGCGATGCCTCACAAACCCCTCCTCCTGGTAAACTGCCAGGCGCCATCTTGACTTGATTTGTGGTCCCCAACAAAAATGGGCTTAAATTCAATATGACAGGGCTTACAACTACTTAAAATAGAAATGATAGATATTCTTGGGTCATAGAAAATATTTTGTAATGAGTTATTTTTTTAAAAGATGATCCTGAACAATGTGAGAACCAAACCCATTACTTACTTTTCAATACTATGATTTTGTAAAGCCTAAAAATTCATAATTTTTAAAGATGGGGAAATTAAGCTTTAACACAAGTGTTATTTTAAGCAATCACCCTTAAAGTATTTTTCAACAACGGAAAATCCAAGGGGCATGAATCAAAACAAGGTGTTTGAAAAGCCAAGAAAATTCTTATTAGTAGTACTACCTAATATTTCATCTGGCATAATTCCCATTCCTCTTTCAGCTTAGTGTATTATCTAAACACTGCTTTACTAGAGTGTGCATTTATTGTAGTAAGTAAATTCTGCTTGGTTTCTAGGCCATACTCATACAATACATACAAATTACTCACAAAAAGTAAATTCCCTTCAATCCAGCTATAATGTTTGAATATGATTATGTCAAATTTCATTTAATGTTGATCTACTGATTTGATGGCTAATCTGAGAAGTATATTTTTTAGATATTTGTGTTTTTTCATGTACTTATAAGACTATTTTTAAAAATTCATGAAAGACAGCAGTGTAGGTCTTTTTCAAAAAGATACTCTCCCAGAATATCATTCAGAACAAAACTTTAAAGCAGTTCTATATATTTCATAAATAGTCACTTATTTTTGAGTTTTTAAATTAGGCTCAAATCTCTTTTCTACTTATATTTTGGCTAGATATGATTAGTAATTACACAATTTTGAATAAAATGGATAGTTTCTTAAGGTCTTTGCAACAGATTGTTCCCCAAATACTATACTGTACAAATACGCACCAAAGAAATAAAACAATTTGTTGGTTTTAATCTTTAAAAAAGTGAACCTAATTTTGCTGTGGAAAGTTACAACATAAACATCGAAAATTTTGTATTCTCCCAAGCATGTCATCATTAGGTAAAAACTCATCTAGGCAAAATAGTATTTATGCTTCCATTTTATTGTTTTTAAGAATTAAACTGCCACCTCAGTAGTCTTAAGAGCAATATAATGAAACATACATACATTTAGACTTATGTCCATCATAGCTTCAAAGGCTTCCCTGAAATAAGGCTGGGATTCACATCTTTTTCCTTAAGAAAAGAAACACTAACAGTAATTTTGTTTTCCTTCTACCCACCCACCCTCATTCAAACAATGAACTGATGAATTCAAGTCTAACACCATTTAAAATTTTTGTCCGCTACAAGACATTCATCTGATCTGCCTCCCTGCATATTTATTAAACATAACTGAAAAATAAATCATTTTTAAAAGCCTATAAGAATTATTAATGTGGAATTTCACCACGATAATTTTTTTTTATCCAAAACACAAAGTGGTTTCTTGCCACATTCAATGCTAGTGAATTTCAATAAGCGAAGGAGAGCTTTTCATAAATAGTTGAGAAGCTCTAAAGTGAATTTGGCTATTTTTCTAATTACAAGAAACAAAGAACGGTTGGGATTTAAACAGTAATATTTTAACAGCTCCTAAACAGGGGCATGAAAAGGAATCAAGTTTGCATCAGTCCAAGTACCTACAGTAATATGATAGAAGCACTCACCACCATTTCACACTATTTCACTCCCATGCTTCTAATAACAAGAATTTCTCACTAGAAATAGTGCATTAACAAACTAGACTTTCAAACTGCTAAGTGTGAAAAACCACTTGCTTAAGAAAAAAGTGTATTACTTATTTTCAGCCAAAGTTGAAATGGCCATTTGTATTATTTCTAAATTCTGCTCTAAATTCAGAAATGATTTTGCATCTGATTATCCAAGAATTGTGTTTTGCCTATTCCTGACAGAATCAAATGGTAAATTAGCAATCAGTTTATCCTTTGTCAAAAAGAAATGTTCTAAATTTATATACTATACAAACTATCTAATAAATGATATCTGCATTCTACACATCATGTTTATGTTATGCACCATTTTAGGGGGGGGGAGGAAAAACTTCACAGGGTTTATTCAAAGGATATACAATAATATCCTAAGAAGATTGATTTATACATATGAGATCTGTATAAACTGTAAGTGGTCATCTCAGCTGGACTGTAACAAGCCCCTATAATGCAAAAGCTGACTCTAAAGGCACCTTATAAAGCACTGAAATTCACAATTTAGTCATTACTTTTCTCTTCTCCAATACAAAATTATCTGGTAGTCCTTACTGTTGACTCCATGCTAAAATATTCCAAGTTTAGACTGTTTTACCAACCAAAGGGAAAGGAAATAGTTTTTAAATTTCAAGTTAGAGGAAAACCCCTTATTACACAGCAATGAAACCTGAGCAAATGCTAGTTTGTGATTACAAGAAAACATCCTTCATTAATACATTATTTAAATTCCTCTACAACATTCAAATTGTAGTTTAAAATCCAATAAACGAGAATCCACATAAGCACAGAATTAAGCTACCATGAAACGAGGATTTATATAAAGTCTATTTAGCCCTAAATATTTAAGACAATGAACAGAGTAGAACACACTTCATCTAAATAACACCATTTAAACAGTTCTATAAAATAATGTTACTTAAGATTAATAAGTGTGGTGCATCATGTGATTCCAACCATTCACTAAAAAAGCATTAATAAGTAACAGTATCCCCCCACCAGCTTGGAGCCTACAGTGTTGAATCCTTTGGCCATATCTTTTCAAATAATTAGAATATTTTTTAATATTACAAACATAAATATATCTTAATATTGGAATTCCAATGTATTTTGGTGCTCCTGAGGCTGCCTAAACATAAAAAGGCATCCAAGTGAAGTGTATTACATACTTACGATATTGCAAAATTTCAGTGCCTAAAATGTGAAATAATTCTCTATCGTTTAACAGTCTGCCCTTATAGCAAATTCTAGCAAATTTTTACTTCTAGGATTTTATTGTAACTTTGGGAAATTAGTGGTAAAACATATGGTTTTATAAAACAGTATGTGGCTGCACTTAAATTCACATAAAAATAGCATTTTTACAACCATATTGAAATTTAATCCTTTTACACAGGTTAACAAAAATGTATCACAAGAAAAACTAAACATTGGGTTTAACAAAAGCAATACTTTTGAAAGTGGAACAATGAAAATTTTTTTTTCAAAAAAATTTTTTTTTTCTTACAAATGGTCTCTTCTGGGTCAATTTACCACCTAGAGAACAAAGTTGTTAAAATATAGCTGTGCTCAACTGAGCCACTCATCTGCACTATAGCATAGTACTTGAAATCAATCCTAAGGTCAAGATTTAAAACCATTTTAGAGACAAGACCCTACGTGTTTTTTATAGTCACCTCAGAGGTACTTTTCCTTCCCCAAACAGTCAAAGCTTAATTAAAAGATTGACTACACGTTAAGTTTTTTTTCCCTCATCATATCTTCAGTTCAAAATACTATTATCATTGGTAATAAGGTCTGTATCTTGTCTGATCTGGATGATGTGGTCCAGGAAGTGGGGTTTGAGAAGGCGGACCCTGCATTCGTGGAGGAGGAGGTGGCCCTCTTGGTGCAGGCCATATACCAGGACTCATTCCCCCTGGTTGTGTAAATGGAGGGCTCAGAGTTCCTTGATCTTCAGTAAATTGGGGTAAAGAATTTGGATTATAATGGTGAGGAGGGGGAGCAGTTACAGGTGGACCACCATGTTGAGGTGGGGGAGGTCCTGGAGGAGGATGATTCATATAAGGTGGCATCTGGGCAATAATATGTCCAGGGGGAGGGGTTATTGGTGGTGGAGCAGAGGTCATTGGTGGAGGTGGAGCTTGGCTATACACCAAGTGAGGAGTACCTGCAGCCTGGGGAGGATGTGGCATTGGATGGCTTATTGGTGGTGGAGGAGGTGGGGGTGGTGCATAATGTTGTTGTGGAGGCATAATATGATGAGGGTGCGATACCACTGGTTGACCCTGATATTCAGGATGATGGTGAGCAGGTGCTGGGGCAGGAGGTGGTGGTTCTCTAGCACCTGAATTTGAGTCATCCTGAATAGGGACAGTTATTAAATTGCTGTGTTTTCTTGTTGAAATGCGAAAGGTTTCCTGACTGACCGAACGAGGTGGAGGTGGAGCCATGGACAATTCTGCTGGAGGAGCACGAATATCCTCATGTGGCTGATTATAGTGCTCATGAGGCACATGTTGCAAAGGAGGTGGTGGCATCATGATGTGCTGCTTTGGCGGAATATGACTCATATGGTGCTTGTCTGGTGGCATTATAAAACGATCAGGGATGTCGGTTGGTGGTGGGGCAATAGGAGGATGAACATTTTCAAGTGAAGCACGGGTAACAGGTTTTCCAGCTCTCATATGGCGATGGTTGATATGAGCCTGTAAGTCTCTCTGAGACAAATACGTTCTCTTGCACCCTTGAACAATGCTACACATGAAGAGAGAACCTCGTGTACACTGTTCAATTCGCTGCACAGGATCACTACAGCTAAATTAGAAGGGAAAAAATTTGATTTACTAAAAAGGTAAAAATAATGCACTTATTTTTAAAAATAATACTTTTAAAATGTTATATAAACAGCAAAAGAGTACATTAAAAGTTATAGTTACTCTAAGTAACTTTAATCTCCCCTACCTTGTTTCTAATCATTATTTCTGTCAACCTTGAACTCTTCGTGGTATTACCAGAATATATCTTAAAAGGAGACCTTATACTTCCCAACACCTTGAAATGATTTTATAAGTGGCTTTTTATTCATTTGTAAAAATAATAACAATAATAATCCAGAAAGAACTAAGCCAAGGACCTGTCACAACCAAAGGAATTCAGACCTTGAATTACGGGAGCAGTATTTGCTGAGCAAATACTACTAAATGGAGAACAGTAAGTGGGAGATGCTGCAAGGACAATAACAATGGGTAAGATCATCCTAACCATTAGTGCTCTTAACATTAAATATAAATAACTTAAATTTAAACCTTGACTATCAGGGTCCCTTTAAGAAAGGAATTTTTTTGAACTGGGAAGTCATTGACCCATTTTGAATGTTTCCTCATTTGTCAAGTGAAATTAAATTATGTACTCTAACTCACAATGTTGTTATATCTATTTCACCTTAAAAGAGTGTTCTTAAGATCAAATAATGAAAGTGACAGTATTTAATCACCGGTTAAGTGATATTGTTTAGATACAAGCTGTTAACAATGACTATGTGTGTCAACTGACATTCTTATTAAATATATATTTTTTTGGTATTAGGGGTTGAACCTGGGGTACTTTACCCACTGAGCTACATCCCCAGACCTTTCTAGTTTTTTGAGATACTAAGATGATGAAGCTGGTCTCAAGTTTGTGATTCTCCTGCCTCAGCCCCCACAATCACTGGGATTACAGGTGTATGCCAATAAGTTAGGTTAAATGGTTCTATACTCTTGAAGTTGAGTTCTATTTCTCCATCCTGCTATAAGGCTGGCAATTCCTGTTGATACTAAAATGCTTCCTTTAAGTGACTATATAACACACTTCTAATTTTTCATTATAAACTCAGAAACATCCCTACATTAAGAGGATGTGAGACACTTTCTCTGGGTGATGCCTAACAGCAGTAATATGTAATGTTTATATTAACTCTGGTTGTCATTTCTTCACTTCCTGATCTGGGTATATTAATCCAGATAGGCTTATGTCCTAAAATAGATAAGGACAGCACAGGTGAGGTGCTTACTAGAATTATATTTAATGCCTTGAAAACCAAATTTCCTGTTAAACATTATCACTGAAACCCTTATGTAAAAGAGGAAACTTCTTAATGTCCTTTACATACTGTTTTATCACATATGAAACCCTTTATCCAAAGGAAGCAATCTAAATTTACTACATGACTTAATGTATACTGGGTTGAAAAATTAGGCATTAGAGAAAATAACCAAAACAAGCAATATAAGCTTCTAATTTCATAACTCTTCTGAATTACAATTTTACAGAATACTGTTTTAATCCCCAATAACAAATTTTATAATGTTACTTCAAGCCAAGAAAATCAGTTGTCATTGGGTTCTCAATGAATCATTCCTTTCTCAGTAATGCCAATTTCCTACACCAAAAAGGGAATCACCCCATGCAATCATTCATAGCTTTGTTAGCAACCAATACTACAAGCCTTGGAGTGCTTCAAATAGAGGTTATAAGTAATCTAAAAAGCCTAAGGCTGGGACTGGAGTTGTAGCTCAGTTGAACGCTTGACTAGCATGTGTGACGCACTGGGTTCAATCCGCAGTACCACATAAAAATAAAAATAAATAAAGACATTGTGCTCCACATACAACTTACAATCAATCAATCAATCAATAACCTAAGGCTGTTCCAAGGAAGTTTCTATTAGTCTTTCTCAAGCCTGCCTTATCAGGGGTTCTAAACTGATATAAAAATTCCTACTTTATTCTCAATTCTTTTAGACTATCCCAAAATGGACCTACCTCTTCATAACTCGTTTGGGTCTATGTCACAACTGTGAATAATTCATTTCCTCATTTGTTAAATGAAGTTATATAATAATCATATTTGAATAGCTTATATATACATAGTGCTTATGTTCTATCAATCAATCAGTCTTTGATGAATCCTGAAAATAATCTAGGAAGGTCAGTATAATTACCAGTCCCATTTTATAGATTAAAAAATAGCTTATGTCACATAGCCAATAAATGGCCGAACAGGGATTTGAATTTAAGAATTCTAATACCAGGAGTCTCGGTTCTTAATCACTAACCCATACTACACTACCTCTCTAGTGAGGAAGAGGGAAAGAACAACCAAAAGAAAACGAAAGACTGACTATCCCAAAATGGACTTAGTTCTTCATAACTTGTTTTGAGACTATGAAAAGCAAACGAAAACATAATTGCTTCTGGTTTAGAATACTAATTCTATGATGGCACAGAGATTTTATCATGTGGGTCAGTTTAAGTTGACTGATGGAGGCTGCCCATCATCTTGAAAAGGCTAAAGCCAACTCTGGGCTCACAAAGATTAGCTATGTCTACATATTTGATATTTTTGCCTGGTTTACATCACACCCTGACCTTTAACCCTTTATAAATCATTATACCACAAACTTTACCAATTAAAAAAGTAAAAATGACCTTATCTTACCCTGGACACATCTTATCTCCTTTTTTTTCATGTAAAATAGCACAGTCATAGCAAAAAACATGCTTGCATGGAATCTGTAAACAAAGACATTATAGTTAAGCACACTGGAACAACTTAAAATATTTCTGTAAAAAAAAACAATAAGCATAGTGATCTATATCTAGAAAGCATATGAAAACTGTTCAAATGAACATTTAATAAGTACTAACCATATAAAAGTAATAGTTAACACTCTTTTTAATCACAAAGGCTTTGAGAATGTGTTAAAACTTTGATCCCTTTTTTAATAATGTATATATACACATACATCTGTTTACATTTTCTAGATGTGTAAGTCCTATAAATTTCTAACACAGTCCCTGCTGGTTAAAAGCTCCTGAAAACCACTGTAAACACGTTTTATCTTATCTTGTTTCTCCTGAAACTATTCCAAAGTAATAAATAATAATTATATTAAATTTGTTGTATTCCCTTCGTTAAAATTTCACTTATGGGGCTGGCATTGTGGCTCAGTGGTAGAGCACTTGCCTGGCACACATGAGGCACTGGGTTCAAACCCCAGCACATTTAAAAAAGAAAAAAACTAAACAACAAAATAAAGGTATTAAAAAGAAAAAGATTCACTATGATGGAAACATTTCATGCTCTTAAAAATTAAAGTAACAAAACTTTGCTTACATATTTCATACTTAAATGTTACAAACATACTTATTAAAGAATGAAAAACTCTGTCTACTTAAATTTTTCAGAATTCTACCTCTACACAAATGCTTACATTCACAAAAACAGAATTTAAGTTAATTATACTTACCATTCGCCCATAGATTTTAATAGGCAATCCACATTTGTCACAGAAATGAACTGGTGTATCATCCTTTTCACCTAAGATGTTGATCTGTTGAAATGATATAATTAAAATTTCCTTCTTATGCAATTCTAAAAATTTTAGAATTCACAGTGGTATGGTTAGAATTTTATAAACATTGTTATAACAATTAGAAATAGAGGTTTCTTAGTTTAATCCTCACATATTACCCACCATTAGTTTGTTTTTCTTCTTAAATAGTGGTTATTGATCTTATTTTACTTCAATGAACATCACCTCAAATTATTTTTGAAAATAACAGAAACCTGGCATTAATAAGTAAGTTATTTGTGTATGATGAAAAAGTCACGGATATTAAAAATTCATAACATTCTTCCATATTATGCATTTCAATTATTTAATACTTAATATTTTATTTTTAATTATACCTTAAAGTCCCAAAAAAGGTGTCCAGGAAATCTTCGCTGATTTCCAAACAGTTCGCCCCCTTTACAGTCATACCGCTCTTCTTCATTATAATCAAATCCTTCTGAGGAAAAAAGAACGTTACCCATTTACTTTTCAAATCTTAAATTTCATTTGGGAACTATATGTATATGACAAAATAGGCCTATTCACTAAAAAGTCCATCTTATATCTTTCAAAGTTCTTCTAAAAATAAGGTAATTAAGACTAGTTTAAAACACCAGGTAAAAATGATCATATAGTCCATCCTATTACTTTATAATTGACTGCAGAATACTCAATAATTCAACATACAAGATTAGTGGCAGAACTAGGCATGGTGCAACACACCTGTAATTCTAGCTACCAGGGAAGCTGAAACAGAATAAGTTTAAGGCTAACTCCAACAACCTAGCAAGACCCTGCCTCAAAATAAAAAAAGGACTAAGGATGTAACTAAGTGGTAGAGTGCCCCTGGGTTCCATCTTGTATATGGTGCGGGGGGGGGGGGGGGGTGCCACAGGGCAGGGGTGTAATTAACAGCAAAATCAATCTCGACTCCCATTCAAGTGCTCTTATCAATTATAACCATCATGCTTGTTGTATAATATTTTAAGATATCATATTTATTCTAATATCTACAAAAGTAGATACAAGGCTACAAGAAACTGATTTTTATTGCCAAAAGAACATAATGAAAAAGAGCAAATTCTGAAGATTTTCTATGACAAGATTTTTCTTGTTTTTTTATTTTTTGTTTTTTTTTATTTGTTTTAATTACACATGACAGTACAATGATCTTGACATATCACACATCTGAATCAGATGGGATATAATTTCTCATTTTTCTGAGTGTACAGGTTGCAGAATTATATTGGTCATGCAGTCACGTAAGATTTTTCTTCTGAAGATTTTCTTAGGAATCCTTCTTACCCACACACTGGGCATGACTTTAGAATCAACATATTCATACTTCATCCTTTCAATTAAAACCTCTTCCTAGTTAATCACCCAAATAGCAGGAGCTGTATGATTATTATCTATAAACTTGAGACAATAAAAAGATCAAATACTCTCACCTTCTCTCGCCTAATTAAAAAGTTGAGATAGCATTCCTCTCAATCCTTTCATCTCATACAAAAGCACAGAAAACTGATGGAAATTCTAGGTAGAATCCAATTTCCTAAAGTAAAGCTGAGAAGACAAATATATCCCTCCTTCAAGGCTTCTCATGACTCTTTTGGCCCTAGAACTGGTAAACAAAGTAGCCAAAACACTTTTAATCTTACCCACATAGCTAAATACCAGCACCTATGGACAGATGGATGGACAGGCGCACACGCGCACACACATAGTGACGCAAGAGTTTTGTGAATACTCCAATATACTATTTAATTACCTCTAACACAAATGTATAGTGGAAAGTCAGGGTTTTCTTATCATTTGTACCCAAGCTCTTGTATGGCCATTTACACCTCATAAAAGCTGGGGTCATTTAAAATTCCAAATAAAGAAAATCATTGCTGGAAACCCAGAAAATTACCAAGATGAATGACCAAGGAAATGAGAAATATATAATAATTTGTCAGAGTGGCTTAACCAGTAATCCTATCATTAAATTATATATCTGTGCAGATAATATACTAGCACCCAAAAATCACTATTTTGATCAATGCCTTAGGGGGAAAAATAATTTCTTAAGAATACCAAATAAGTGAACCTAAATATCCAATAATTACCTTCAACCTAAGTTAATGTTATTAAGAGAGACTTGTAACAGTAATTCCCTCTAGAAAGAGCTGTAGGATTGAGGATGAGTGAGGCCATACCTAAGAGGAAACATGAGCGCATTTTTTTTTTTTTGCATTGTTTGGATTATTATTAAGACAGAGCTATTGTACATCATGTTTAGTTTAAAATATTACTTAACAAAAAAAAGGGGGGATGGGGAGCCTATATAGTAGAGTAGCTGCCCTAGGCTGTAACTATTGTGATTTTTCATTGATTTATTGGTGCTAGGATTCCAACCTAGGACCTTGAATATGCTAAATATGTTCTACCATTCAACCATACCCCAGCTTTACCACCATGATTTACCATGTTTCAACTTCAAGTAGACTTCTTTAGGCAGAAGAGAAACCCTATGGTAAAAGGAACTATTTTATAAGGTAACTAAAGCAGTCTGATACTTTAAATAATAATAATAATATACAGTCAGATTGCTAGAATACAGTAGAAAATCTAGAAATATACCTACTTTAAGAACTTTAACATATGTTAATGGCAAGATTCCTAGTCAGCAAAAAAATATATATACAGACTAGTAAATGATTGCAAAATGGCTAGCCTCTATGGAGAAAAATAAGTAAGACCTCACTTTCTGTTAGGCTTTTCATTTGCTTGTTTTTAATAAACTAACACAGAGAATGGTGACACACATCTATAATCCCAGCAACTTGTGAGGCTTAAGTTTGAGGCTAACCTGAGCCATTTAGCAACGCCCTAAGCAACTTAGTGAGATCCTCTCTCAAAATTAAAAAAAAAACACAAGTTGGGGAGCCCTAGGGATATTGTTTATGGTAAAGTGCCCTGGGTTCAATTCCTGGTACTAAAAAAATTAAAATAACAACAACATCAACAACCACAACTAAACACATATCCATAAATGTCCCAAAACAGGGGTTAGCAAACTTTTTCTGTAAAAGCCCAGACAATAAATATTTTAGAGTTTGTGGGCCATATTGTCTCTATCAAAAATACTCAGCTCTGCCATTATAGGAGGAAAGCAAAACAGCCACCAATAAAACTTACATGAACAATCATGGTTGTGTTGTAAACTTTATTTATAAAAACAGGGCCAGATCTGGCCCACTGGCCAGTTTACTGACCTCTACTAAATAGTAAAATAGGAAAACTTATATTCATGGAATAAGGAATTCCATTTAAAGAATGTCCTAAAACCCAAAAGTCCTAAGAGCAAGACTAATTATCTGGCTACACAGAGTCTTCAAGATCTTTACAAATAAAAATTTTATTCAAATAAAATTCAAAAGACAAGTGGAGAATACAGACAATATATAACAAAATGGCTAACTGCATTAATTTACAAAAATCCCATAAAAATTGGAAAAAAGACTGCCAAACAGAAAAACTGGAAAAGAATATGAATGGGAAAAACCTAGGCAAAAGAAATGACCAATACTATGAAAAGATATACTATGAAAAGATATATATAATATATAAAACCTTATATATAATTAAAGAAATATATATGAAAAGAAAAAAATTAAGTTAATAATACCAGAAATCGATGTGTGGGAATATAAGCTAATATACCTTTCCTGAAAAGCACTTTGACAATATCTGACAAATTCTAAAATGTACATTATCATCAAGTTTTTAAATGTCCAAAGTTTTTGCAAAGTATAAATTTTACAAAATAATCATATTAAGCCATATACACAAGGATATTTGCTGTACCATTATTAGAGGAAAAAAACTAAAAAATTTGCTAAATAAATTATGGTATATCATAAATGAAATATCCAAACCTATTTCTTTTTTCTATTTTTGGTACCAAGAATTGAACCCAGGGGCACTTTACCACTAAGCCATATCCCCAGCCCTTTCATATATTTATTTAGAAACAGGGTCTTGCTGAGTTGCTTAGGGCCTCACTAAACTGCTGAGGCTAGCTTTGAACTTACATTCCTCCTGTCTCTGCCTCCTGAGCCACTGACCAAACCAATTTTTTTAAATTATGTACATCTGAATGTAGTGATAAGGCAAAATTTCAAATGCACTTTACATGAAAAACTACCTAGGAAAAAACTGTACTTTTGTGCAAAAGTCTTCATAAGATTATCTTTGGAAAGAAGGATTATAGAGGGAGCTATTTTACTTATGCTATGCTTTCTGGAATACCATTTAGGTTTATTTTTAAAGGGGAAACTTATAAAGGGAGAAAAAAAGCATAAAATATACCAAAATGAAATTAAAAGGCTGAAAAGAGCATGTAAGATTAAAGTAGCCATAAGTAAATAAGATCACAGACGTATGGTGCAATGAGATAAACAAAAAGACTATTGAACATATTAGTTTAAACAAATTACCTTCATCACCAGGTGGAGCCTTTGTAGGCATCCTGTTTATAGTCCTTTGAGTTCGAGGTGCAGGTTTGGCTTTGTTTGCTTGTTTGGAGATGAGTTTTATAGGAATTCGTCTGCGAACATCAAGACCACCCAATGATCCAGAACTATTAGTGCCTTGTAACTCATTATCTATGTTAGAGGAAAAAACAAATTTTAATTTCTTTTAGTTTTTCTTTTTGAAGATTATTTCATCTCAGGTATTAAAACAACATAACCAACATTATCAAGGGTTAACAATATTAGTCCTGATTTTAAATATTACACTAACACAAATTTACTGCTAATTTTCTTTATTTTAGATAAACTTTTAAAGCAACGCTTTTTGAGACACGGAACCCTATTAGAAACTGACAAAGCTATAGTACTTTTATCTCTCTTAGAGAAGTGAACAATAAAAATTTTCACTAATTCCACAGTTTACAGAAAAATAAAAAACTTCATGAACCCAAGATAAGAACCTCTGTCTTGAACTATAAGAATTTCTTAGAGGTAAATGAGAACACTGATACAACATATCAAAATCTCTGGGACACTATGAAGGCAGTACTAAGAGGAAAGTTCATTCCATGGAGTTCATCCCTTAAAAGAAGAAAAAGTCAACAAATAACGTAACATTACACCTCAAAGCCCTAGAAAAAAGAACAACAAATCAACACCAAAAACAGTAGAAAACAGGAAATAATTAAAATTAGAGCTGAAATCAATGGAATTGAAATAATTGAAAAAACTGACAAAACAAAAACTTGGTTCTTTGAAAAAATAAATAAAATTGATAAACCCTTAGTCATGCTAATGAAGAGAAGGGGAGAGAAAACTCAAATTACTAAAATTTGTGATGAAAAAGGAAATATCACAATAGAAACTACAGAAATACAGAAAATAATTAAAAATTATTTTGAAATTTATAATCCAATAAAATAGAAAATATCAAAGACAAATTTCTAGAATCATATGATTTTCCTAAACTGAATAAGGATGATATACACAAGTTAAACAGATCAATTTCAAGCAATGAAATAGAAGACGCCATCAGAAGCCTATCAACCAAGAAAAGCCCAGGTCCAGATGGATACACAGCTGAGTTCTACAAGACCTTCAAAGAAGAACTAAAACCAACACTCCTCAAATTATTCTATGACATAGAAAAAGAGGGAACACTTTCAAACTCATTCGATGAGGCCAGTATCAAAGGCCTGATTCCAAAACCAGACAAAGACACATCAAAAAAAGAAAATTTCAGACCGATATCTCTAATAAACATAGATGCAAAAATTCTTAGTAAAATTCTGGCAAATCAAATACACGATTAAGTGGGGTTCATCCAAGGGATACAAGATTGATTCGACATATAGAAATCAATAAATGTAATTCATCACATCAATATATCTAAAGAATCATATGATCATCTCAAGAGATCAGAAAAAGCATTTGACAAATACAGTACCCCTTTATGTTCAAAACACTAGAAAAACTAGAGATAACAGGACCATATCTCAACATTGTAAAAGCTATCTATGCTAAGCCCCAGGCCAACATCATTCTAAATGGAGAAAAATTGAAAGCATTCCTTCTAAAAACTGGAACAAGTCAGGGATGCCCTCTTTCACCACTTCTATTTAACATAGTTCTTGAAAACCTAGCCAGAGCAATTATACAGATGGAAGAAATTAAAGGGATATGGATGGGAAAAGAAGAACTCAAACTATCACTATTTGCTGATGACATGATTCTATACCTAGAGGATCCAAAAAATTCCACCAGAATACTTCTAGAACTAATAAATGAATTCAGCAAAGTAGCAAGATATAAAAATCAACACCAATAAATCAAAGGCATTTCTGTATAGTGACAAAGCCTCTGAAAGAGAAACTAGGAAAATCACCCCATTTACGATAGCCTCAAAAAAAAAAAAAAAAAAAAACACTAAAATACGTGGGAATCAACTTAACAAAAGAGGTGAAAGGCCTCTACAATGAAAACTACAGAACACTAAAGAAAGAAATTGAAGAAGACCTTAGAAGATAGAAATATCTCCCTTGTTCTTGGATAGGCAGAATTAATATTGTCAAAATGACCATTACCAAAAGTACTATACAGATTTAATGCAATTCCAATTGAAATCCCAATACATTCCTCATAGAAAAAGAAGTCATGAAATTCATCTGGAAACAGATTTAATGCAATTCCAATTGAAATCCCAATACATTCCTCATAGAAAAAGAAGTCATGAAATTCATCTGGAAAAATAAGAGACCCAGAATAGCCAAAGCAATCCTTAGCAAGAAGAATGAAGCAGGTGGCATCACTATACCAGACCTTAAACTATACTACAGAGTAATAGTAACAAAAAAGGCATGGTATTGGCACCAAAATAGACTTGTAGACCAATGGTACAGAATAGAGGACACAGAGACAAACCCACATAAATACAGTTATCTCATACTAGACAAAGGTGCCAAAAACTTATACTGAAGAAAAGATAGCCTCTTCAACAGATACTGCTGGGAAAACTGAATATCCACATGCAGCAAAATGAAAATAAACCCCTCTCACCACACACAAAACTCAACTCAAAATGGATCAAGGACCTAGGAATTAGTCCAGAGACCCTGCGCCTAATAGAAGAAAAAGTAGGCCCAAGTCTTTATCATGTTGGATTAGGCCCCGACTTCCTTAACAAGACTCCTATAGCACAAGAAATAAAATCCAAAAACAATAAATGGGCTGAATTCAAATTGAAAAGCTTCCTCTCAGCAAAAGAAACAATCAGTGAGGTGAAGAGAGAGCCTACAAAATGGGAGCAAATTTTTAGCACACACACATCAGATAGAGCACTAATCTCTAGGATATATAAGGAACTCAAAAAACTTAATACCAAAAATAATAATAATAATCCAATCAATAAATGGGCTAAGGAGCTGAACAGACACTTCTCAGAAGATGATATGCAGTCAATCAACAAATATATGATAAAATGTTCAACATCTCTAGCAACTAGAGAAATGCAAATCAAAACTACTCTAAGATTTCATCTAACTCCAGTCAGAATGGCACCTATTAAGAATTTAAACAATAAATGTTGACAAGGATGTGGAAAAAAAGGCATACTCATACATTCCTGGTGGGATTGCAAATTGGTCCAACCAATCTGGAAAGCAGTATGGAGATTCCTTAGAAAACCTGGAATGGAACTACCAATTGACCCAATCCCATTCCTTGGTTTATACCCAAAGGACTTAAAAACAGCATACTATAGTGACACAACCACACCAATGTTTATAGCAGCACAATTCACAAAACCTAAATTGTGGAACCAACCTAGATGCCCTTCAATAGACGGATAAGTAAACTGTGGTGTATATATACACAATGGAATATTACTCAGCATTAAGAGAGAATAAAGTCATGTCATTTGCTGCTAAATGGATGGGGTTGGAGAATATCATGTCAAATGTTTTCTCTGCTATGTGGATGCTGATACATAATGGGGGTGAGGGGGAGCATGGAAGGAATAGAGGAACTTTGATTAGGGCAAAGGGAGGGAAGGAAAGGGAGGGGGTTTGGGGGTAGGAAAGATGATGGAATGAGATGGACATTATTACCCTAAGTACATGTATGAAGACACAAATGGTGTGACTCTACTTTATGTACAACCAGAGATATGAAAAACTGTGCTCTATGTGTACTATGAATTCAAATGCATTCTGCTGTCATGTAAAACAAATTAAATATTTTTTTTAAAAAAAGTAACTATGAGAATTTAAAAAAAAAATGAAAAAGGAAAAGAAACAAAACCATCCCTATCTCCTGTCAAGCTTGCCACGTAGACAGTCAATAAAGTTGCTAAGTTTACATTAGGGTAACCAATAAAACTGAAAAAAACAAACAAAAAAAAAAACTAACCCTGATGAAGGCAAAATTAAATAATGCACCTGAAAATGAAGTCAGTTTTAAAGAGATTATTTCCTTCAGCCTAAAATGAAGGAAAAGGGTTGAGCAATAAAGTAAAAATTTATTATACCCCGTAATAACAGAAACATGCAATAATTTGTACTACAACATTTCTAGAGATACACTGAGTTATTCTTAGCACTGTATTGGAAAATTATAATCTAGGAGGATGCAAGGTTTCTAACTCCATCTATCTAAGTCTAAACAAATGACACCTCTGCTTGTTATCATCTATGAAACAAATTAACTTATGTTCCATTATTATTTCATAGAACCAACTCATGTAGAGCTTAAAGAGTTACCTTTGTTCAAGTAAATGAAAAGATATTATAACACAGAAAATAATCAACTTTACCTAGAGTCAAAAAGGAAAATGCTCTAAAATGAGAACTACAAAGAAACAAAAATTTTAAATTATGTTTTAAACATAAGTTATTGAACAAAGTTGTATAACTGCCCCTGCAAACAATATTACAATCAAAACAAATAAACTGTCCATATTAATTATGAGTAAAGACAAAAGTAGTAACTAAGTACCAATGACCTCCAAGGCTGTATTACACGTACACTTTTTGTGTTAAAATAGGTCCTGAATGATTATTTTGAATTTTTTCAGTCTACTTTCTACTTTTTTAACAGGTAATCTTGCAGGGGGATATGAAAAAGGGATTACATGGTTAGCTAAACTCTTGAATTAGAATAAATTCAACTTTTCCAACTTTATCAATTTTCAACATTTCACTAAATGAACTAACAAGCTGATTAATGTATTTCATTCATTTTCAATGCATTTGTTTATTTATGTAAAAATACTTAAAGCAATGCAACAGCCAAAAGGCAGATATTTCTAAATAACATTTTTCTTAAAAAGTATTCCTGACTTTCCAATTATTAAAAAAGAGTTAATATTGTCCTTCAGCTATCAAAAGGATTCTTAAGGGTTTTACCTTTGTGAATGAAAATACCAACACTTCATTACAAGTTCTTTTCACACCACCCTGAACGCTTGAGGTCTCTTATTGTTGATCACATAGCCAGCTTGCCATGTGCAAGAGCCTGCTGCCCCTTAAAATTTTGCTGTTTGCTTCACAAATTTCAAGTTATAAAGTAGAACACTTCACAGTGACAACAATTTGGGATTGTTTGAGGAACTTTTTTTTGGTTTGTGTCTTTTTAAAATTAAGGATCAAAACATACAATACAATTTCCTTTTGAATTAATAACTAAACATACAGTCCATAGTAACAAAGTCCTTGGATATTATTCAAAGAGAAAACTAAGGATAACTGGCCATTTATGGTGAATTCACCTTACAAGAAACAGCACTTTTTATTATGTAGCTTAAAAAGGTCTTGGATTTTTATCTTGAATAAAAGGAACAAAGAAATATTTTACAAAATTTAGGTTACTTTACAAAGGTGCTAATTCAACAATGCATATGAGTGACCAAAGAATGAATCAAGTGTTAACTGTTTCATGGAAAATTTTTTCTCCTTAAAATACTTCATTTTACATTTCAATTTTACGCATGACCATATATACAATGAGTCATTTTTGCACTAATATTCAAGGGTTTCACCAATTTTTCCAAAGACGACTTGATCCTTTGATATTAAAATCATTCTCAAGATGCCTATTCTATCATGATGTCTTCAATTAACTAGCTAACAGCATTTCCTCATTTGTCAATGGCTTATTTGTGATTGTCATCAAATTCATGTTTATGAACTCTGATATCTGAAACTTTCACAAAAGTTTCTTCCCCACAATCAGTGTATAGCAACTGGTACTGTCTTCTGATATGAAACATTAAGGAGAAAGTCTCAAAAAGAAATTAACTTTTATTTCCCATGCAAACTTTTAACTTAAAAAGTTTAAAATTAGAATAAAGCCTCTTACACACCCATCCATTTTCAGATTTCCTAATATAACAACTTCTAAACTGTAAAAGGGACTTCACTCCCAGTTCCAGTAACAGGATAAAGGAGAAATATTTTGCTAAAATCACACATTTGTTACCCTACCCTCAAGACTCCAGAGTTTCAACTCTATATATTTTCCAAACTCTGGAATTCCTTAAAGCCTGGTTCTAGGCCCTCTTCTTTTCTATACGCCTCTCACTAAATGATCTCTCCCATGCTCATGCTTTAAAGAGATCAACTATAAGGTATTAACTCCCAAATATATATTTTTGGTCCATATCTTTCCTCTGAGCTCCATTTGGTACCGCCCATCCTATATCAATATACATCACATACCCAGCAGTCCAAAACCAAATTCTTGTTCCCAAATTCCTAACTTCCACTGAAACCAGAAGCCCAGGCATTTCTCTCCCATACCCCCAAATCAATTCATTAGCAGGTGCTTGAGCTCTACCACCAAAACATCTATTGCATCTGCCCTTTCTCGCCCCTCATCCCACCTCTCTCCACCTTTTGTTGTTGTAGTGGTGGTGGTGCAGGGGATTCAAACCAGAGCCTTGTGAACTGCATGTTAGGCAAGTACTCCATCACTTCATTTTCACTAAACCAAGCCTCCTTTCTGGTCTACTACAATGACCTCCTAAATTGTCTATTTTCTATTATTCTTGACTTCCACAAAACAGTCCATTATGTATTTAAGATTATGTTCCTTCTTTTACTTCTATTCAGAGACTTCATATTCACTCAAACTAAAATTAAACTCTTTAATGTACCTTTCAAAGTCCTGAAGGTGGTGACTTAGACTTCCTCTGCAACCTCAACTTAGGGCTCTTTTTCCCTTGCCAACTAGGCCACAACCAACTGGCATTCTCTACATTTTCCTATCCTGGAGTCTTTGAACTTGCTGAAAATGTTCCTTCTGTTTTATTTCATGGCTAGATTCTTCTTATACATGAGTCTCAACTACTAACCTTTCCCAGAAGACCTTCCCTGCCCATTCTCTCTGAAACTTCCTACTCCACAGCATTTGTTTTCCTTGAAGGCATTCACCACAATCTGTAATAATATGTAAACGAGTTTATATATATATATGGGGGTGGGGGGAATGAGAATGTGTGCGACTGTCTGTCTTCCCCAGCAGGATGTAATGTCCAAGAGGAAAAGAACCCAGTTCTATTGTTAACTCCTTCATCATTCCATCTTCAGGCCTGCAAGTATCTAGACATATCCGGCATAAATAAACATGTATGTACACACACTCAATAAATATGTAGCTGATGACTGAGAACATTCAGATCAATGCTTAAGAAAAAGTCTATTCCCCCTACGTGTGCTATGATCGATGTAACTGAAGCACTTACTAATTTCAAGTGCCTCACTCAACATCCAAGAACCACAAGAAAGCGAAGCACATAACACCTAACAAGAGGTGGAGCTACCCTTGGCGAAAGGGATGAGAATGTCTTGATCTTTTGTGTTCCTATATAAGTGGCCTCAACTGATGATGAGAAAAGACCACAGCCGAAGCATAGGCATGGTTTAGGCTTAGGTGGAAATTTCTAGCTGCTCTGTTTATGAATTGGAAAACTATATCCGACTCCCTTCCCTTCTGTAACCTCTAATCCATGATGGACCGAAGAGACAAACAAGAAATAACTGCAGCACCCGCCTAAAGCTGAGAGCAGGAAGTCTTCAACTAACTACCAGCACAAGGAGACTTCAATCACCGCTGGTGTCCACCCACCAGTACCCCATAACCTAGGGCAGAGCAACTGTGTTGAGTTTAAATAAATAAAAGATACGGCGCTCTCCCCTTGCCAGGAAGCCTACGCCGCCCACTGTCCCAGCTGGGAGCTCAGCAAAAGCAGACACAGAAGCGGTTGTTGCCGGCACCGAGGATGGAGGTACCGCACCGGAGGGTAGGCCGAGAAGCAGCAGGCCCTGCGGGGCACGGGAAGAGGGTCTACGAGATTTCTTCCTCACCGCCACACCCCAGTGCTGTGGGGCAAGCGTAACCCCTTTTGCCCGCTGGACGACCAGTCCCAGACTAGCCAAGGGGGCATGAAACTGGGACCCCCACTGCCTCCGCCTCCTTACCAGTGTGATCCATGATTCGGCTCGCAGGGCACAGTGGGAGCGGAAGTCAACCGAGCCGAAGTCGCAACGAGCGCGTGCGCGCTACCTTCCGGAGCCCAGAAGACGGAAGTGTGGCCGGTTTGCCCCACTTTGCCCTGCAAGAGCTCCCTTCTCGCGCCTCCACCACCCTTCTCTGATGAGGGAGTCAGGCATAGTCCAGGTAGAGGCAAGCGGAGCCGGGAGCTTCTGTATTGAGATTGTTAAGGCTTCCCGTTTGCCTCAAAGAGGAAGTAGCCTTTAGCGTGGGAAGGGAATAGATGGGGCCAGGGGGTTGGGGGGCGGCGGCAGCCGGAGAGCGGTAGTAGCTAGAGGAATAAGCTTGGGGCGGCTAAGGCAGACGCCTGCCCACGCAGAGCGTTGCCTTGTGGGACTTGTAGTGTCTTGGAGCCGGCTGGCTTAGCGCGCATGCTCGGCCTTTGGGATGGCCCCACCCCAGCGGGCGGAGTAACGGTTTGGAATCCCCCCGGGTCCGCGAGGGCTGCTTTACCTCCTCCTGCTCTAGGGAAGGTGTAAACACCGCGCTCCTGCAGGCGTCCTCCAGTGGGAGGTTGCCCAGGGAATCGCTGAGCTGGGGGAAGCTCCCGGCTAGAGGGAAGCTCTGTGCTTATAGTCTAAATTTCGCTTTGTCCTGACGGGCTGCCGAGACCCACGCAGAGCAGACAGTTCCCCGGTTCCCACCTCCGAAGTTCCTCTAACAGTTGAAACACGTTTACAGTGCTTGACTACCATTCATTATCTAGGGAAACTCCGGCGGCGCTTCGAACCCTCCGGACGCTTAAAGGACTGGAGGACGAGCGAGGCGCCCTTGCCTCCCCTTACAGGGACACCTAGCAGTAACGTGCAGAGTGAGACGGAAGAAGAGAGGATCAAGACCTAGGGGGGGGGGGGGGGGGTGACGAGAGCACTAGGGCTTGGCCGGAAGAGAGGTTAAAGAGGAAAGGCCTCACTGGAGAAAGAGAGAGTTAAACCACAACAGGCAATACCTAGTTCCAGTTCTTGGTCCCAGGGGTTTGTGGTTGCTGCTTTCATCTTGCTCAGCCAAAACAAAAGGAAAGTGTCAAATGGCGATTCCTTAGGACTTCCAGTGCAGTCTCCACCTCGCAGATTTGGCTCATTTGTGTCCACTCCTTTCCCTAACCCTTTATACTTGATGCTCTCAGATGAGTAGAAAGGAGCACAGTTAATGGAAAACACAGCTTGGGAGTCAAGGGATTTGGGTTCTATTCTTGTCCCTTGGTGACGACATTACTTTGGGTTATTCACACTTTCAGTGCCAGAATTCCTAGATCGATAAAAGATTATTACATTGACCTCTTATAGAAACGTTTTGACGGTACTGAATTCCTAATAAAGTCGTGTAACAATGACCTATATCTGTGTAGTTGTACTGTAACAGCTATGAATAACTATGATGATCAGTACTGTAACTGCACCATGTTATTGGTGATTGTTTTAGTGAGATCTTTTAAAGTCTCACTTTATTTCCCTCTTATATACAAGATTGTACTTATATTCTGGACTAGATGGACATTTATGAACACAAGTCATTATTAATTTTGTTAAAATGTGAAGTTCTTTCTACTGAGTGTTTTTCAGGATGCTTTCAATTGCTGGCATTTTTGCTTGGGGTCTGGAGGAAACTTAAAACACTTCCTCCATACCTTCCTATTTCTCTAAATATGATACTGATGTGGTTGAGTATTATTCACCAATTTAGGGTTTTCTGGGAGATAGTTTCCACCCAAAAAGTGCTCTTTTTTTCTTCCCCTATCAAACTGATCTCTATCAATTAAACTTAAGGTTGATGCAAATCTAGGTTCAGAATAATGTTATCATTAGTGTCCACTGGTGCTAAAGAATTAAAAAGAGCTTTTAAATTGTACTTGAGGAGGTGGTACTGGTAATTGAACCCAGAGGTTCTTAACCTCTGAGCCACATCCCCATCCCTTTTAATTTTTTATTTTGAGACAGGGTCTCCCTAAGACATTGCTAAATTACTAAGGCTGGTCTTGAACTTGCAATCCTCAGCCTCCCAAGTTGCTGGGGTTAGAGGCTTGCATCACTGCTTGCAACCTAAATTGTATTTTATATAATTTAATCAGCAAATCAGAAGTTTTATAAGCATTTTATAGTGTATTAAGTTATGAAATTGGCTGAAGCAAGAGTCACTTATTTTAAATTTGATCAAATATTAAATATTCATTTTACTCGAAATCTGTCATTTTTATGCATTGTTTTTGAATTATGCTCTATAATCATCCCCCCACCTTAATTGTGGTTGCCTCACTTTACCAATGCAGTAGCACTGTGACAAATTGATAAGTGAGACTGTACAGAGAATTTTATTACTACCCACTATAACATCCCTTATTATGAAGTAACTTAAGCTGAACCTTGATGAACAGATAAAATTTGGAGAAGAAGAGAGCAGTGACCGGCACATCATTCAGGGAAGAGAATGGGTACAGATGTGAGAATTGTTATGGCTTATATTAAGGGCTGTGATCAGCTTGACTTGTACTTTTGATCCATGTTTGGGAGTAGTAAAAATAAGGTAAGATTGTAGGGAACCTTGAAAAAGTGAGATTTCAGAGTAAGATTTGGAAAATAGAATATATAATAAAGCCTAGGATGGTGTGGTCATTTAAACAACATAATTCAACAAGATACATTAAAAAACAAAAAGCAAATTTTAAATTTGGGAAGGAGGTAGTAAATCAATACTATTAGACTAAGAGAAAAACAGTTGACCAGGAAACCATGGACAAAATGCTGGCACTTCTTAATGAACAGTTCATAAAAGAACCAATGGAACTCGGTGTAATGTCACAAGCCTGTAATACCAGCCACTTAGGCAGCTGAGGCAGAAGGATCACAAGTTTAAGGCTAGCCTGGGTAAATTGGCAAGAGCCTGTCTCAAAATTTAAAAAAGGGCCGAGCATATATTTAGCTCAGTGGTTAAACAATCGCCTCACATATGCAAGGCTCTAGGTTCAATCCTCAGTAACACCAAAAAAAATGAAAATAAAAAAATACTGATCAGGATAAATAATATTTACCATATGTTAACATAGTTACTATATGTTTGATTAAAATGGATGAGTAAGGTGCACTGGGTAGATGGATGCCTTTTCAATGTATGGTAGTCAGCTTTCTACACACCATCAGATAATGGCCAAAAGACAAATTCAGAGATTAAGATAGAGGGCTGGGGGTGTGGCTCAGCAGTAGAGCGCCTCCCCTTAGCATGGGCAAAGCCCTGGGTTTGATCCTCAGCACCACATAAAAATAAATAAACAGATAAATAAAACATTTTAAAAAGAGAGATAGAAATGAAGACTAATAGAAATGAATGCTGATGGTTCAAGGCATTTTCCCATTTATCTCTTTAAGGAGATTACATCCTTTGGGGCTGGAACTGTATGTACCCATTTGGAAAGGATCTTTTTGAATTAGCAAAATCCTGCACCCTGCCTCCTTTTTTGAGAAGAAAAATTTTGCTGTGGGTATCCTTTGAACTGGATAGACCTGTACCTCTATAGAGTTTCTCTGCTAAGAGATGATTGCCTTGCTTTTTCTCTACCCATTTCTATTCAGCTCACTCCTGAAAAAAAAAAAAATGCTTAGTGTATTGCTGTAGTTTGAATATATTTGTCCTCAAAGGTTCATGTACTAGAAGCTTGATCCCCATTGTGAAGGTACTGGGATATGGTGTCTTTCTGAGAGTATTAGGTAATTAAGAGGGATGGATGTTTTTTCTCATAGGAGTGAGCTCTTGATATTGTAGAACTAGATCAGTTACCACAAAAGTGAGTTGATATAAAGCAAGTTGGGCTTCTTTCTTTCTTGCTGCTTCTCTCACCATGTGATATCTCCCCACCATGCGTGTGGCCTGCTCTTTACCATGAGATATTATGTATCATGAGGCCCTTACCAGAAGCCAGTGTTGGCACTATGTCCTTGGACCTAGAGAGCTATGAACTAAACCTCTTTTCTTCATAAAGTATTTAGTCTCTGATATTTTGGTATAGTAACAAAGCAGGGTAAGACAGATATTAAACTGCTCTATAGCTATGCCAATTATGCTGTAAATAAATAGTCTTTGATATTGCTTTCTGTATTTGAGAAAATTTTGCCCAAACACTTCCTGACCTTAAACTTAGATACTTCATTCCAGTTGGAAAAACCATGCAGTCTTAGTCTCTAATTATACATTTTGAATATATATGTTCCTCCAAAATTCATATGTGACACTTAAACCCTAAGATGGTGGTATTAAGAGGTGGTGATCTTTGGAGAAGTGATTAAGTCATGAGATTTATGCTCTTATAAAAGATGCTTCAGAGAACTGCCTGTCCCCTTTGCCCTTCAGCTGTGCAAAGTCACAGTGTTCTCCTTTCTACTTCTTTCTACCATGTGAGGGTGGAGCAACAATGTGCCATCTTAGAAGCAAAGACTTACCAGATACTGAATTTGTTGATCTCTTTACTTTGGACTTCCTAGCCTTCAGCACTGTTGGGTAATATGTTTCTGTTTATAGATTATTCAGTCTCAGATATTTTTTTAGGGTAGCACAAATGGACTAAAACATCTGGTATATTTGGTTTATAAATAAAACTTTCTCATTATCAGGAATACATTTTACATTATAGCCTAGTACCATAATCACAAATTCATGTACCTAAATATATTCATAAGTGTCATGAAATTTCCTTTTATGCAATCGTCTCTGCTCTTTCTATTTTGACATTTTTTTTAAATGTCGATTATACTGCCCTAAACTAACTATATGGTTGTAATTTAAGTTTAAAAACCAATGATTTACATTGAGAGGGGAGCTATAGATCAGAGGTAGAGCGTTTGTAAGAATTATGTGTCTCCATTGAGAATTTCAGG